TGGGATATTTAATATGTATTTTGGGGGGAAAATATAAAAAGGGAGATAATTTAGCAAAAATACCTGTCAAGATCATCTGTCCTTTAGAAATGCATATGAAAATAAGTATTTAAGTTTAAAGTGGATATGTTTGAAATTAGCCGTAACCAAAAGGTTAATCAGAGAGAAAACATCTTAGAGAAATAAGGGGAATAACTTTGCAAACTATATCTAGGATTATCTGCCCTTTGATATTGCATCATATGATCATAGTAAACAAATAAACCACATTTAAAGTAAATTCGGTAGTGTCTGAGAAAATAAATGAAATTACTTAAACCAAATTCTGAGAGCGACAATACCATAATACCTTTAATCTGTTGTCAATCAGGGTTACAAATGAAAATGGGAAACAAAAGAAAAATACTTATCTATTGAGAATTTAGTATCAATCATCCTTTCTAGCCTAAAGATTACATTATATAGCTACGGAATGCCGTTAGGGCCATCGCCTATGAATGGTTTGATCTGAAACATGATACTCGAAAGTACGATGATGAAAACACGAAATCACGAAACCACGATGGTGAAAACGCGACAGTACGATGATGAAAACACGACAGTACGATAACGAAAACGCGATAATACGACAGTACGATGATGATAATACAATGAACTATCGCGTTTTCATCATCGTACTATCGCGTTTTCATCATCGTACTATCGCGTTTTCATCATCGTAGTTTCGTAATTTCGCGTTTTCACCATCGTACTATCGACTATCGCGTTTCAGGTCAACACATTCATAGGCGATGGCCCGAACGGCATTCCGGAATGCCGTTATTGTCATCGCCTATGAATTGTTTTATCTGAAACGCGATACTCGACAGAACGATGATGAAAACGCGAAATCACGAAACTACGATGATGAAACCGCAAAAGTACGATGGTGAAAACACGATAGTTTATCGCGTTTTCATCATCGTAGTATCGTACTGTCGCGTTTTCATCATCGTAATTTCGCGTTTTCACCATCGTAGTTTCGTGATTTCGCGTTTTCACCATCGTACTTTCGACTATCGCGTTTCCGATCAACACATTCATAGGCGATGGCCCTAACGGCATTCCGTATATAGCAGCTCAAAACCTCGATATTTAGGTTCATAAAAGAAAACAAGTTAAACAAAGATGGCAATTACAATGAATGTTAAAAAGTAATATAATACTACTTTAATCAGACCATGGGTAATGCATTACCTCCACTCTGAAGAGTATTCAAATAGGCTAGAATCACTTGTCAACTACATTGAAATTGAGGGGCGTGGGTTCAAACCCTAGAAGGGGCAACTTTTTTTCTTTCTATTTTTCTTTTTAACATTATTTATGTATCTCACTAATCCCTTATGGAAGAAAAAAGGGTTTGATTTAAATAATATAATTATTGTAGGTATTTATTTGCTAAATAATGCCAAAATTTATAGCAAATATGATACCAGATATTTTCAAAGTTTAATAAAATAAAAACTATACGGTAAAAGTATTTTATTTTTCGCATGATCAACCAATATACCTTGAAGAAAATAAAGGCAAACTTTGAAAACAGCCCCTCATCAAGGTTAATTTTAGGGATATTTTAAATAAGGCATTTTAGATAGGGAAATGGTAAAATAAGTGTTTAAAGTGGGTGGGATAGGGTAACATTTTTATACATATTAAGAACATTTTGTTTAGAAACAAACATTTTGCTTGTGTAATTTGTTACCTGAATGTTATTATTTGTTTCTTAACAATGAGTAATAGTAAAACATTTTTTATAATGATGATATTACAGATTATTTAGAGTTTCCTCATTTCTGAAAATAAGCCCTTCTAATGGCAAAATCTTAGTTCAGAAATATATGCATAACTCATAAACCACATAGTAAATTTTATTTAAATTTTGCATATAGGTTACCTTGAAGACATATAACTGTCCTATGTTGTCAATTTTACTATTCCTTATGGTGCCCATTACCCATGGTCTACCTTAACATGAATTTACATCTTGCGACATTTAACGGTAGTGTTGCGACATTTAACGGTAAAGGAAATTCGTGCGACATTTAACGTTAACATTGCGACATTTAACGGCAAATAATTTTGCGACATTTAGCGGCGGTTGCGACATTTAGCGGCAATGGTGCGACATTTAGCGGCAATGGTGCGACATTTAGCGGCAACTGCGACATTTAACGGTGCCACAATGTGTCTTACGAAAATGATGATTAGATATGACGCTTAACATGTTATATTTTCAGTTATTTTGGGATGATTTGCATTGCTAACAAGTAAAAATAAAAGTTTATACAATAGAATATATTCATCATTTTTACCAATAAGGAACAGAAACATTACAGAATTCGAAGGCGACCTCTTTTTAATGGCCCATTATGCCCCAGAAATGACTTTTTTTTTCTCAAAATATTTTTATTTTTGATGTACTTTTTCAGTTTCCTAAAAGCTAATCATTGGTCAATTTCCTGAACCATCCTTTTCTGTTACTTTTTGACAATTAGATCAGTTAGTGGGATTTAGTATTATATGGAAGTCAAACTTCTTTGTTTACATTGTGCTTCTATTATGTCAAATTATTTCACATTAAGCGCAACTTTCTTCATGTAAAAGCATCTAACATGCTCTAAATGCACAATTTAAACATTATAGAATTAATGTTTGCCTTTTAAAGAAGTAAACATTTAATTGTTTCTGTGGCATAATATGCCTTTGATATAATAAGTATACTTTCGATTGAGTGATTATGGTAAAAGGTAAAATATTTTATGTGTATACCTTCGAAAGCGTCGACATAATATAGCTGCCATTAAAACTCAAATATTTTCATAAGACAAAAAAGTATTTTTGTAAAGATAAGGTAGTGCGACTTTATCATGGCAACTACATTTCACATAGGGTTCAAACTCGGAAGTTTTAAAGGCACAATGTTCCTAGAGAAATGTATAATATACGTCTGGTTCAGAAGGTAAATGATTGCAAAATGGATTTAAGGCATATTAAATGTTTATCATTGTAAATACACAGTACTAAATGTGAAACAATTTGTTATTTAGGTAACAAAACGTAAACAAAGTTGTGTTTTGACTTCTATACATAATTACTTACTCAGTATAACTGCACGTATTACACAAAAGCACAATAAGTTTAATTAAGATGGCTCTGCTATATGGCCAGTGACAACCTCTTTAGAAAATGTAACAGGAAGCCAAAAATAAACAGTTTTTGAGACATGAAAGTGAGGCTTATATGGGCCTTTAAGCTACAAATGTATTTATAACAAGATTATCATGTGTAAAGAAGAATAATAAATTTGATGTAATGTATGTGGTATCCAAGCAAGCGTCTGTATCTTAAAGGAGATACACTGAGATCAAAAAGCCTAAAACATAAAAAAAAAAAATGAATTTTTGTTCACATAATGAAAAAATCCGCAATAGACCATAAAGAAATATGCTCAGAATTAATTGAAAATTAAAAGTTAGTACAACACTGCCGAACTTTGTGAAAAGCATTCGAACACTTTTCAATTTAGTACTTTTAAACAACAGAATGAGGAAAAACAGGGAAAATGAATGATATGAAAATTTGCATACAAGTTATTGGTTCAGACCTACAAGTAATGGTACGTTAATCTCGAATGTCCGATAAAGTCATAAAAACCTCAGCGAAGTCCCTTTAAACTACAATGATGACGTTGAAACCATCTTCAGAAAACCATTATATTGTCTTACTTACGGAAAGTTTGTTTATGGAAGTAAAATCATAAAGTTATTTTCCCACAACAGGCAAACATAAAAATAAGTCATTTGACAAAATATATCCGTATGACTTGTCACTTTAACTACTTACATACACTTTTAGCTAAGCACTGTACACGTATATTATGGTTTTTACTGGAAATACTTCCTGTTAGTAATAATTCTAAGTAAAACACAAAGAACGTTTAATTGGTAATTAAATTGATTAGATTTAATCTAAACTACGCAAATTGAAACAACGCCCACCCTGATATCACGGAAATTGAAAAGTCTCAAAAAAGGGGAGGTAATAGTTAAATATCTTAAAATAAACGCGCATTGTTTTTCATGCCACTGTAACACAAGTTTTATAGGAATAGTGTGCGTCCCTGATAGATCGTTTCTACATATTTTAAAAGAAACAAAGAAAGAAGACTTTTATCTGACCTAAACTAAAGTTTTCATTTTTTTAAAAGTATCCCACTTGCAGCAGACGACACTGTACCACGCGCTCTCTCGTGTCGTCTGGTCGTTTTGCCGAGCTTACAACATATATAAACTACATTTCCATATCACTAATTGTGTTATTTTACCCGACTGATAAAGGGGGTGTTTTATCCTGTCAAAACGAGAATGTGAAATCTAGTGTTTCACATTATCTCTGTTAAATTTAAACTTAATTTTCTCGTACCATTACCGTATAAAATGTTTAATAGAGAGAAAATCGTGACTACCTTCAATCGATAAATTAGTACTAAGCTATAAATAAACTAGATCATATAAAATTACAAATGTATAATATTATGACGTTTTAAATCATGTGATATGCATTCTACTTGCCCATTGGCGCGTTATATAGACTTAACATAATTCATTCATTAATAGAAAATAGTTTAATCCGAAGTTTGTTATATATAGACAGTTTTACGGATTTGTACAAGAGCAAGTAAGTTCTTTCTCGAATATTCTTTTAGATTGTCAACTACTTATGAGAATAGGAAAATCATGTAAACTAGTTATTCTGTCACAAAACATGAATACATAATTGTATTGATTTAGAATTTTAAATTTGTTATAGATTTATATATGCAGAATTTATGTCGTTACAGAATAGCTTGATTTAGTATTATTTCGATTAAAAATTATATCAATATCAATGGCAGTTTTATTTCGTTTGAAATTATATCGAAATAGGTCAGTTATGTCATAAGTACGGAAAAAAGAGATTTAGGTTGCTATATTTTTCTTAAATACATGTACATACATTATAACAATTAATTGATATAAACATAGAGTGCGGTTTATTTGGATAGATCTACCCATTTGAGTTACATTCGTATAACTGATATCATAAGCCCTTACAAGAGGCCATCAAGGTATTGTTTTTTATAAGTAGTTATAGATATAAATGAATATAAACAGTCCAGCCAATTTAAGATGGCATACGAGTGACATTTGTAGATCTACCCGTTTCAGAAAGATAAATCTACAAGGAAACAGTATGACCAAGACACGGAAGACCGGTATGAAGTCATCACACTACACCACGGTAGTGTTACCCCCGTGCAAGGTGTGTGGCGGTGAGTCGACAGGTTACCATTTTGGGGTCATCACATGCGAGGCGTGTAAGGTAAAGAATAGCTTCCTTCTATATTTTTGTACAAACCTCAAGCCAAGGAAGACAATATCTTGCAACATTTTATATTTTTATTGAAGGAAAAAGTTATAGTCTTTATTTGGATCGCATAATATTCAAATAACCTTCCTACTCCTTCACTTCCCGCAAAATCTCCGATTTACGGGCATGTAACTATGCCAATATTTAGATTGACTTTGATTCTTAGAAATTCTCGTTGAAATTTACGCTGACTTAGGTTGATAGAACCGCTTTATTTGGTTTTCACGCTGACTTTAATTTTATTTGCTAAAATGTTTCAATTTGGTCAACATTACGTACAAACCTGTATGACCGCGTATATCTACAAAGAGGTCAAACTGGTGTTAATTCTGACATACATTTAAAGAACATTAGCAATGACCTTAATTTTCAGACATATTTTGCTGACTAAGAAAAAAAATTACACTGACTTAAAATGACTGTGATTTACCGGGGCTTACAGTTATGGGCGTTTTTTAACTGAGACTCGCGTTGACTTTTACTATAAGAAACGTGAAGATTACAGAAAAGTTCATCTGCGATTTAGATGAATTGGACTTTGATAAGGTTTAATGAACACCTACCAATCAATTGCTTTAACATATACCGTCATTTTTGTAAGATATTTGCGACAATATATTCTTTGATATCCAAACATGTTTTTACTAAGATTAAGTTTGACTTAGATTTGCAAACAGGCAGCTTTGACTAATAAAAGGGCCGATTTAAATGTATAAACAAACTTGACAAAGTTTCTGAATTAGGGAAAAACAACCATATTTGACAAATACCCGGTTTGACTGGGAATACATTTGACTATGATATACAAAAGGTTAGACTAAGACCAGATTTGACGAAGATTTTCAGAAAGGTGTATTGTTTTTAAAACCTTTTCGCTAAAAAAAATAACTTTGATCTGGCAGATATTTTAAGTATGTTTTTGCACAGACCCATATTGAATTCGATTTGTTATGGTTTTGTTTATTCTAGAAATATCCAAATCAAACAGACGGTGTTCTTTAACCTTGGTCTATATTCGGTAACGGAACGTAATATGATCAAAGCAAACGATATTGAGTTTCTTTTATAATTATACTTTCTATTGAAGGTCTAATTATACTATTCTATTGAAGATCGATGACCGTTTTTTGTCTGCGAATAAAAATGTCGGTCGCAACAATTACTGAAAAGGATTGTGCAAATAGTTTTCGATAACAAATAAATAGATCTCTTTTTTCAAATATGAAAACAGACTTAATTTAGCATGGAACGTTCTCGCATAATTTGCAATTTAATTGACAGCGAGCCGTCATCGATGTATGATTATACTTCAAAAATCGTTCTAATAGTTAAACGGATCAATAGGTTATCTAACATAAGGGTATTTTAATGGCTGTTAAAACAAAACATACACCGCTTTTGAAGTAGAGTTCAATGCACTATATAATGAAATGGTTCATAACGAGTTAGAAAATTAGGGCATTCGCTTTCATTCAAGGATAGATCTAGAAAATTGAAATCTTGCGTAATATTTTTTTGGTTCAACTTAAAAGAATCGCCACGACTAAAATTTTAAATCATATCATGTGAACTTCGTGAATTAAGTATGTTAAATTGTTGTTTCAATTTAGAAATTCTCTTACTAGGCCTTATGTTTATTTTTGATTGCTGTCCCCCGTGGTAAGGGCTGTGCTTCAATTGTCATATTTTGCGAAATGTCTTTATAGATATTGAATTTTGGCAGGTATAAACAAAGCCAAAGAAAAACAAACTAATTATAAAACTTTAATTACACATATACATTCCTCTCTCGCATTAAACCTTTAAATGCTATCAATTTTATTCATCAAAAGTGTTTTTTTATATTTTTGATATTCGTTTAAAATCCCCCCCCCCTCCGGCTAAAATAAAATACTTAATGCTCATATACCTGAGCCAACTTTTGCTTCTTTTGAGCCATTTTTTGCTTCTTGTGAGCAATCTTTTGCTTCTTTAGAGTAATCTTTTGCTTCTGTTGACTATAAGTACAAAATAGTGTATTTTGTATTTTGTATGGAGGTAAAATTCGACTTTGTTTACATTCAGATGTCTTTCTTATAAATTATTTAACACACTACGCCATTTTCTTGAGATGAAAAGCACCTCACATGTTCTAATTATCTACATTATTTTAACATTATATAATACATGTTTGCCCTTTCTACAGAAAGAAAAATAATAGTTATATATATATATATCCTATTCTGAAGTTTGATGTGCCTTTAGATCTATAATTGATAATCAAAATTACAACAGGATCATTCTATAATTCAAATGCATTTTGTTTTTGTTTGTAGGCTTTCTTTCGGCGTTCATTGGTACAGAAGCGCAAACCTAAATGCAAGAAGAATGGGGAACTCGGAAAGTGCCACATAGATTTTACAAAGTCAAACAACTGCTCAGCATGTAGACTGAGCAAATGTTTAAAGCTTGGAATGTCTAGAGAAAGTAAGTTGTCGTCTGCAAACTTTTCTGATAATAAAATTTGTTATCATACAATTAGGCTATATCACAGAACGTTAAAGGTGCATTATGCCTCAGAAATTTATAATTATGCTTGAAATGCTTTAGAAATGTCAAACATATGTTTGCTAATGTTTTAATAATGGATTTAGAGCATGTAAGTTATTCAACAACTGAAAAATAGCGCTAATCATACAGGGATGTGTCTTCAAGGTGGAAAATGTAAACAAAGTAGTATTTTGACTTCCATACAAATAACTCACTAAATATACCATTTGAAAACATAGCAAAATAAGCAAAAGATCGTTTATGTGCAGGTATATGGCAAATTTTCTTTTTGAAACTGTCACAGGATACCAAAGACAGAAAGTTTTTGAGAAATAGAAAAATAGCATTTCTAAGGCAAAATGGGCCTTTAACCAACTCGTCTACCATTTTGTTACAATCTTGTACATGTTAGAAAGACTAATCTTTATGGAAATTATTGTTTGCATTTTGTTATCAGTGTCATTACAATTAGCTGTTTCTAAACTGTTTAAATGAACATACTTTAAAATCCAGTCTATTAGGAATTTTCCCTCAAATTTTTAGTCCTCTACTCGTATCATAAAATTTAATCATATACTTCATAATGTACTTAATAACTTGTCAATGTTAGAAAGTTTGATCTAAGGGGAATTTTGTTTTTCAAGCCTACACACGTAACATGTACATTTCCTGTAGGAACTATATTTTATTGTTTTAAAGTCAATAAAATTTCCGTCCACTTAAATTATTTATAACACTCCGTAATCTAAGTAGTTAAGAATACCGGTATTTCTAAATGCTAGTTTCACAAATCTTATATCACATTTTAGGTATTCGCCGGGGCCGTTTCTCTTTGCCACTAAGGACTCAAGCCATCGTTGAAGCAAACAGTTTAGAAAACAAGGGCTATAACTCTGCCATGGAGGAAAGCGACGCGTCTACGCCTTCGTCAACCATTTCTGACTCATCAGACGACAGTTTGAGCCTGGTACCATTTGCAGGTACTACCTCCCTTTATATCATACATGTATATGATCGACTAGCCTTTCTGTCACTCTCTGCTTTACGTCCCTGCTATTTACGTTAAGCACTATCCTTTATCGTATGTCTTTCTGCCCATTAGGAACATCTCGGCTATTATTAAATATCTTTATCCGAAGTTTGACGGAAAGGGCCGAGAAGCTACGATTGCGTTCTCTCGTCATTTTCTAAAGTATTGTTTCATTTATATGTGATTGTAAGAGTTTGACTCCTTTCTGAACTGTGTCCTGTTTATAACTGCACAATGCACTAATACTGTTTCTTTTAAGACATTTTACTTAGTCCACCCTCACCCACCACTAGTTTAAATACATGCAAAACCTTGTCTTTAAAGGGGCTCCACTGGGGTTTTTATGTTGTTGACATGATGGGACTTGAAATAATTTTTCGAAATTAATGTTCCGTTTGATGTAGGTCTAGACAAATAGCTTGAGTGCTAAAGATCAGATAATTCGCTCAGAATAATTATTCTAATTGTGAAAAAGGACTAAAACTGAAAAGCGTTGCAACGCTTTTTACTTAAATCGGGCAAAGAGTATCACAAAAATACGAATTTCAATTTATTTTTTTAGTTTATTTCTTCATTTTCTACTGCACATCTTTCTGTTTTAAGTGTCGCAGTTGATCAATGTAACAAATTCAAATGTTATGTTTTAGGCTATTGGACCTAAGTTGAGTTCCTTTAACCATAACGTACTTATAAATTGGTTTCGGATTTCGAGTCAATAGGTACATACACATGGTCTTCTTAAGGCCTCAACAGACGGTAGGATTTAGCTGTACAGCACTAATTAGAGATAAGATGTACAATTTTCAAAGCTATACAACACTTGCATTCAGACGGTAATTCTACACTGTAAGAATCATCTGAGGTTTCCCCTAAAAAGGATCCCTTTACATTGATCCTTTACATACTTTACTCACTAAATACTCGCCATGAGTAATGATTGAAAAACCTCCATTTAAAAATATATATATATATATATATTTTCAATGTGAAGCCTGACCGAGACTCAAACCTAGGACCCTCGGAATACCGTACTGCGGCTCTGCTGTCTAAGCTATCTGGTCGCCTACAAACTACCTCCCCTCCCCTAATTAGAGAACAATTCAATACCGTGACAATCATTTTCGGAATAATTTGGGATTCGAACATAAACACAACTTTGGGTCTCCTGAAGAGTTTTTCAACATCATTTTACCCCATCTTACTACTATGTTTACCTTTTAGCCCTAATTGTTCTGGAATTTCATTCATTACACCCATTATCAGGAGATAATTTGGTTATCTGTTACTTGTCATTGTGGGAGGTCTATAAAAATCGGTATGACAAGATTTTCAAAATAGAACATGTCCTATCCCTTACATCTTGACATAAGGTTTCCGAAATCAAGAAATAATACCCTTCACACATTAAGATTTGTCTGTACATCTTAGTTTTAATTGGTGTTGTACTTCAAAATCCTACCGTCTGTTGAGGCCTTTATCTTTTAAAGCATTTTTGATTACACAGAAAAAAAATCAAGCGTCGTGCTTTGAATTCTAAATAAGCAAATTTGTTATCTCATTTTGTTAATAGTTCCTGGAATAGATTTTCCCAAAATTCAGTGCAATAAAATTGCAGCGTTTCTATCAAATCCGGATGTATGTTTTTGTTGTATTTTGTTACATCCGTCTTTTCTATAATTATCAGGCGTTGTTTTTGTCCCCAATTACTGCTGTATCGTAATATGTCATAAAAGCTCTGATAGTTCATCTTTTTTATCTTTTTATCACTTTCATAAATTTTATAACGTATTTGATACAAAACATATGCTTTCACCCGGTCTCAGATTACTAGGCGGTTTGGAAATATAAAAACCTGGATCCGCTTACAGTGTGCGCAAGTATTTAAACGACAATACCCTATTCTTTTCACTTACATACGAAATTATAAATTATACACCTTGCTATCCTATTTCATTTTTTGTGAGCGTTTATGATCTAAGGTTAAGGTGTGTCTATTTAGAATGTTGCAGGTTTGTCACTACTAAATGTATTCGAAAACACGAAACCATCATTTTCTGTGTCATAGTTTTATTGTCGTCTGCTGATGCTATTTTTGTAAACTGAAGATTGTTTCTTTTTGAATTTCAGAATCAAAGTCGTATAACAGTTATAGCCCGACTAGGGACGCTGCCCTTGGCCTGGTGCAATCCAGTGAGATGGAATGCCTCATTGATGCGCTGGTTTCATGTCAGGAGGTCGTGTATCCGAGTCTCAAAAAACATTTCCTTCAACCACTGAATGAAATACATGATAATGTTTACGTAAGTATGATAAAATCAAATTGTATAATATTATTTACAACAATATTAATTAATAAAAGTGTATATTATTGATTTTGATTGATTTTGTACCGTTTAGGTACAAAGGGAAGTAGCTTAATATTAACTTAGCGTTTGTCTAATTAATCAAGGGAAATAATACCCGTGAAATCGATAGCATTCTTGAGAATATAAGTAGAGTAAGATGCGCAGTTATTTGCTATGACACTGTTGCTTTAAACTTCGCAGGATGTATCGCTATAACTATCGAAAACACTATTTATCTTATCTGACAATAAAAGTATGTAATCAACACATCCCGGACTACATCCGGTACAAATAGTTCATGTCCAGCAACAGAATGTCAAAATTATGCATACCAATTATAGTGTCGTCTGCAACCTGTATCACGTGCATTTTCTTTGTTGTCGTAAAACAGAAAGAGTTTAATCTAAAGCAAGAAATATTCGAAGACGTATTCGGGACTTCAAAGAAGCTCTCCACCGAGGAGTACCAAACGGTGTTCGCAGAGACCGGTCTTGACCTAGATGACAGGCTGACCCAGTTTGACATGTACGGTCGGGCGATGGAGGAAAGCATCGTGCAATATAGAAACTTTGTGAGACTTGTACCCGGCTTCAAGACTGTTAGCACTGATGATGCATCTGTACTAATGAAAGGTAGTGTTTCATTTCGTTTTGCTACTTCCGCTAGGCATTACGGTGCTCTTAAAAATCACGATGACGTCAAAAATCTAAATATGGCAAATGTAGCGCGGAATACATCAAGATTCGACCTTTGTTTAAGGTGTGTTGTTGTTTTGAGGGTTCTTTATGATATACTAGTAAATAATATCATTGAAGAATTTATATACATGTAGTTATGGGTATTTAAGAATTAAATTTTCACCTGCTCTTATCAAGATGGCGAACATTTGTTGCTTTTTATATAACCTGCCTTGATTTTATATAATTTGAACATGTTTTACATTGAGACATGCATATGTAATTTTATGAACCATTAAACCTATGAAAACTTGAAATAAATGTATTCACGAGCCCTTTTTAGTCACGAAATTTATATTTTTCACGCTAAAATAGGTTGCATTTGCATTTAATTAAATACCAAGAGTGAAACATAGAAAATATTTATTTTTTTCAATCGGGTAATGATATGCGTTTTTTCATTTTTTGTGTTATATCAATAATCAAATGTTTTAAGACCTTTAACTACTGACATAAAATAAACTTAAGCTTACTGACTCGACCGAGAAAAAACATCACGAAGCGTTGTTTTACCCCAATATTTATTCAAATTAGCCATTACCAAAAATAAGACAAATAGTTATGAAGAAAATCGGGAGTTAGGCTTTGTGTTATCAGTAATAAACCACTTGAAGACGTTTAAAATGGAAGTCTTTTCATGTTTGTTAACTTTTTCTAACGATGAAAAACACGAAGTGTGTTTGGTTTCCTAACAAATAATTGCCTTTCAATATTAAAATTAAACATACATTTGAGCCGCGTCACGACAAAACCAACATGATGCGTTTGAGACCAGCATGGATCCAGACCAGTCTGCGCATCCGCGCAGTTTGATCAGGATCCATGTTGTTCGCTATCTGTTTCTCTACTTGTTATAGGGTTTGTAAGCGAACAGCATAGATCCTAATCAGACTGCGCGGATGCGCAGACTGGTCTGGATCCATGCTGGTCGCAAACACACTATGTTGGTTTTGTCGTGACGCGGCTCATTTGTAGTTTGAGTTGACTTATGGTAAAAGCAGTGTTTGTTTAAGCCTTACCTTGCTGAAACAAAAGAACATTAGCCTCGGTCACCAATATAAAACCATGCCGGCCAGCCTGAGAATCTATGCAGGGTGAACAAAATTCAAATTTACAACTTGATATCCCTAAAATTTAAAATGGACGGACCCGAAAATGGGACCAGGACAAGTCCATTACCAGGTTAAGGGTAAAATATATCAAAACGTTATTATTTCAGCTGCACATCTTGAAGTCTGGTTCTTTGGCAGTCATATGTTATTTAACAAGGAGCTGGGCGTGGCTTTGTGCTGGGATGGATCTCAGAATGGCACCAAGGAGCACATGACGAGGTTTTTCCCGGAAGAATGGATAGATCTGAACTTTGAATTTGCCGATAGGCTTAGCAAGCTTAAACTTTCCTTCGAAGAGATTGCTCTCATCCGGGCAATTGTTCTAACGTCTGCAGGTATATATAGTAGATATTTTATTTTACATAATCATGGACATATTCGAATTGCATTTAAAAGAAGAAAAAAGTGTAAACTGTGTGTAATTATTTTTTATTAATTTAACTGAAAAGGTCAGTTTATTGTATTAACATATTTCAATTATCTGGTCCCTCCGTGGCGTAATGGTTATGGTTGCTTACTTTGAATTACTTGCCACGCTATCCAGTGTTCGAATTCCGATAAGGGTTTTTGATTTTTTTTCTTGTTAAAAAGCTATCATGCGAGCTTGTGGAATGGCGGTGGTTCTACTCAGGTGATCGTTCATGCTTGAGAGGCAACAGAGTTCTTACTCTTACCGGAGAGCTTGTAAATTGCCGTTTGACGTTTTTAGATTGAGTAGGACTGTCCAAAGAACCTACACTAATGTATGTTTTATTAATTGATTTCAGACCGGTGTGCAGTTAAAGACAAAGGTTCAGTGCAAAGTCTTCAAGAAAGGTTTATGGAATGTTTACGTCACTACCTGACGAAAACAAGCACGGCACCAGGACGGCGTTTATACAAGATATTTGATAGTCTTCTTGCTGTGCGGTCTCTTAACAGAATGAACATCACTGTTAACAAACAATTTCTCTCCCAGTGGGAATTTATTATGCAAGACTTCCCCTTATGGAAAGATATGCTTTCTTACGATGACTGTTAAAGTGTCATAAAATTCGGATAAATTATATTTGAACACATCATGTACGTCCACTTAATTGAATACGGTTTCTATCGACTCTGCCATAAAACTGACTAACTTCCGTATTTATAAATTGTAAAGAATAAGTGAATTGAGGGTGAAAATGAGTTATGGCCATTCACGTTAAAGTCAAGTTTTAGTTAGAAAGTACTTGAACATTTGATTTTGTTTTGTAGAATTTCGTCGTATGTAAGCTGTTTATAACCACACGAAAGTGTAAAAGGAAGTAAGGCAAATGTTAAAGTGTTGTTTATATGAATATCTAGTCGGTGAAAAGAATTGAATGCTTAGCAATTCTATCTTTTTTTTTTTTGCTTTTAAAGATTATAAATGTACATGTTTTGTCGTGTATATACAGGTCTCCACACTAAAAGAAAATCTTGCTTGCTAGTAAAATTGTCGTTCGCTTACATGTCGTCTGCTTTATTTTTTAAAATGTTATCAAATTTTCTCGAAAATCAAAAACAATAAAATGTGAAACCTGAAATCTCGCAGTAGATTACCAAGTTTACATCCGGATTTCGCAAAAGTTATACAAGTTGAAAAAATGTACATGCTCCCAAGAAAGGTCCAGTGGTATGAAATACATGTAGCAGGTACACATTGAATTGTTATGGCTAGCAAAAATTTGTACTTTGATTAGTGGGTCCGGTATCCGGTCTACTACAAAGCTGTGAGATCGCGTTCATCTAGCATTAAGAGTTACGTTCTTCATTATTTATATACTTCATTCATTCTGGTTTAACATTAACCATTCATTAGAAATGATCTGTGAAGTTTTCCTTATACAGTCGAACTTCGTTCGCTCGAACTCGGAGGGCCCCTGAAAATTTGTTCGAGAGATCGGTAGTTCGAGCCAACCGAGGTTGAAAAATAAGATCGTACATAGAGGCATATACCTGTTTGAATGTTACCTTTGTTTTTATCCATCTGTATTGTTGTTACATTGTAACAATGATCGATGAATTCAATAAAAATAATACAGTCTTCTTTATCTTATTTTGTTATACACAATATAATACAGAGTTTACATTTATCGTGAATCACAATCTAAAAATAGCACAGGCAAGTCTGTTCATTTATCATGGATCACAATCTAAAAATAGCACACACAAGTATCAATCTATTAATAGAGCAAGATTTTATACACATGTCAATACACAATTATCGGGAAAAGTCATTTAAAAGTTCTTAATATTTCACAAGCTTTCATAGCTTCCCCAGTTCATCATCTTCTTCCGTTTCTGTTGGATCACTTTCGGTTGAGTTCCGTGCCGAAACTAAGTCCTCAATAATGTCTCTATCACATGTTTCAGCACATCTCAATTATTTCTTTTAATATCATTAATTACCATTTATATGCGTTTTGTTTGCATCTTAAATAAAAACGGTCGGAAAACAAAACAAACAAATCGATGAGCGAATATCACCTGTCCTTTTGTATAATTCAACCTTAATTGCCTTTATCACAAGGTGTTAAAAACACGAGACGCCGACTGTCACTAATTAGCGGATCGTTCACAGCTTTTGAAAAATTTTTGTGTTCGACCGAAAACGTGTGATTTTCACTATATTTCTATTGGAGAGACCGAACAACCTGTTCGAGAGTTCGAGCGATCAGTGTTCGAGCGATCCGAGGTAGAACAATATATGTTAATATATAGGGAATTCACCGGGACCGGACGATGAGTTCGAGCGAAGGGAGGTGTTCGAGCAATCCGAGTTCGAGCGAACGAAGTTTAACTGTATATGTATTATGTAGCTTTTAGTATCTGTCATACATTTATGTGCTTTAAAAGCTTTCTTTTTTTGTTTTATTTTGTTTACTTTCTTTTAGTCGATATCAACGAAATAAAATGTGAAATCTCTTTTATCTTCGTTTCTTTTATCAAAAAGGTAACCTACATTTTAAGCTTTCATTTATATCCAAGTCGTGTATATCTTTTTCACACATGCGCAACGCAACATAAGTTTATTCTTACAGAGGAAGACTTCTTTTTATCCTATTTTCTTATATTCCTTTCAAACCTTATGTATATTCCATTTAATTGATTTTTATTTTTCAGAATAATATCATTTCTGTTTATTTAAGCATTTATTTCTACATAAAACATGTTTTACTGGCCTAAACATCTACATAAAGAAGAAAGGAACCAGTTTCCGGACGGAAATCAGGACCAGGTCCGTGAACAATTCATACTCTGTCGGGATTTCAAATTTCTTAGTAAAATTCATATCTACAAGTCAAATATGAAACTTCTTTTCAAATGAAACACTGAATTTCTGAGAGAAAAAAAACAAACACAACAAAACGAAACTAGAAAAAACAAGCCCCACCTTAACGAAAAGTAGATCTGTCCGAAATTAGAACGTGCCCGGAATCTGGCTCCATGTCAACACAAAAGAAAATAGCAGTTCACTAAAAGGTATGTACATTACAATTTACAATTTTTCTGTACAATTCAGACAAAATATCTATTGTATTATCCCCAAAGAAATGCCGCTAGGAATAAAGGAATGAGGTGACGCCAATACGACGTCCAATAAGAATGTTAACTCAATATACAACGTCGATTTCTGAAAACAAACTAGGGCTGTTGCCGATAATCAAGACCATTTTCATGGGTATTCTCAAGACAGTGTCACAAATAATCCTACAGATTATTCAGTTTTTTAAAGTCATTATTGTTGTAAATCTTTAAATAAAACACACTATGTCACTCAAGAAATGGTAAAAAAGCAATGACCATTAATAAGACAGACACTATTTCCCCGTCATCGTTTGTGCGTCATGTGTGACGTCATTTACGTAATAATTACACAATTTCTTCTAATTCATAGGTAAAAATACCTATTTTAGACATCAAGACGAATTACTCGATTACAATGTCTAAAACTGTAGTGAGGCAGTTTGAACATGTCCCATCCGCCTGTTTACAAAGACACCGGTCAGTCTGTGAAAAATATTCGTCTACAGGCCACATCTGCAAGAGAAAATAAAATTTTAAGGATTATAAACCTTTACGAATCGGTAGATAACAACATTTAGCACATAAATGTTTTTCCTTTTGCGACTCCGTAAAAACGGTATAGCATGGCCGTGCATATATTTTGTCGTGACGTCATTTGCGTTATATAAACAAACCCGTATTATCGGATACTACTAGCAGACGGATAATGCTTCGATACCAGAAGTTTAACCCCGCGCTAAATGTTATATACCGTTACACTACTGGCCCGTCATTAAAAAAGGATTTAAACACTCTTTATCTTGGGATTACTGCATGAGCATTTTGTGAAAAATGGCTGTTTTCATTGAAAAGATTCACGTTACAAGTTCAAATTGCTATTAAACTATAAAAATTTCTTCAATACTAATCAAACTTGGCACAAAAGTTGACTGGACCATTGCCTTTGTAACATCATGCTCAGTCTAAATTTCCTGTTACCATGGAAGCGAGGGGACATCTCAAAATTGCCAAAAATCACTATTTTGCGTTGATATTTTCAATGAATATTGTTTTCAAAGTGCTGCAACTTCTCAATGGAGTTAGATAGATTCAAAGGCTTTTCGGCGTTGGTTACTTAACGGGAGATATTTTTACTTCCCCGAGAAGGATTGAAAATTAATGCGCTTGTCATTTGACAATCTTTACACAGTGATCTCCCCTTAATTTTTCGGCATTAGTGTACATATAAAGGGAAGTAACCGCTTCGAGGAGTTCGGACTACTTTCGGTTTTTGCATATAAGCATATCAGGGTCTGAAATTTCGCTACCATTGTTTGTTTGGTCTGACGACGCAAACGACTCCTATTCAGTATTCGGGGAAAAGTCGGTGAACTTCACAAAATACTAACGTTAAGCACAGTTTCAGTAAAGAACAGTTTTCTGCCAGCCTACAGGAGAACAGATAAGATTTCATTTTTTGCACAAAGTTTACATGCAGATTCTAAATACAATCTGAAAGTATTATTTCTATAGCTTGTTTCTTTTTAGCAACATATTTGCATCATATATTTCTTCTACTAAAAGATACAAGAAAATGTGAATAAAAAATAAATGACAGCGTGTGCGTGTAACTATATAGCACAAACTCAGATTAAAAAATTCTACCATCACTTTGTAGTTTCCAACTGTAATATTTTCAAACACTTGGTAAAGTTTTGATGTCCTTGCTTTGCGAATGTCCGAGACCCCGTCTGTAGGCACAAGGACTATCTCAAACAGCTGGAAGTTGTACTCCGGAGGCGGACTGCTCATTACCATTTCCACTGACCGCACAGTTTCGTTTGATATTACGTCATCAATGACGTGATATGCAACAGACGCATGCCAGTTAGCAGACGGAGGCGTGGGCGTGGTTTCTGTCTCTGGAAAATAGAATAAATAATATGCAAATTGAATTGCAGTCCTATTAATTCGATAGCAGACGATCCCAGAGCAAAGGCAATTATTTTATTTCTTTAGAAATAAACATATACTCAACTAAGATAACTCCTTTGCTAGAGACGACACAATTTATTTATCTTAATGAACGTTAGGTAAGTTGTAGATGTACGAGCACCGGATTCGCAAAGGATCAAAGGATACTAAAGGTGGCCACAAAAGTCATTTAAAAGTTTGCGCAAATTTTTAAATACGTCACCTTCCGAATGTACCGAACTCTACCGAATTTAATTTAAACGAATATGAGATATATGTAAACAAGTTTTTATGATTTTAAGACATCTACACTTACTATATAACCCATACACCCCTGTTACCAGGTCAGTAGTATTAGTACGCTGTTCCTCACTATACGGTGGCAAACTCCATGCCGTCAGCTGATAGTGCGTTAGACCAAACAAGGGAAATAACTCTAGCTCTACTTTGTCCTGTAAAACGAAAACGATTATCTCGTTGTGTCGAATTTATGAAATGCACAAGTGAACAATTTCGCAATTTAACGTACATTTCGTTAATTCCTTTTCGAATTTTAAGTTTCTGACGATAAAAATTAATTAATCCAATCAATACAAATGAGCCGCGTCATGACAAAACCAACGTTATGCGTTTGCGACCAGCATGGATCCAGACCAGCCTGCGCATCCGCGCAGTCTGATCAGGATCCATGCCGTTCGCTATCAGTTTCTCTACTTGTTATAGGGTTTGTAACCGAACAGCATGGATCCTGATCAGACTGCGCGGATGCTGGTCATAAACCCGTTATTATATTGGTTTTTGTCAAGGCGCGGCTCAAATGAATCCGCTGAAAATGGTAATACCTCAAAATAATGAATTAGTAACAAAGTTAAAAAGTTATAACAACTTACTTGAAGCGGGGCCGTGCTTTGTGTGATGTCCATTACAATGCAGACATAACCTTTATTTTTGTACAAACGTATTTCATATCCAGTAACATGTTTCTCATCTGAAATAAAAGATGGTCGTTTTTTTTTTGGTTTTAAGATACTTAAATGAAAAAGAAAATCTAAAGTTTTGGAAACAAATGTCTTTGTCTCGGGCAGCCACACTATATGTAGGGTAAGCGCACAGACCGTTAAATTCTATGTTGTTGTCATTTAATAATGGTGTAATGGTTAAATCGTAATTTTATTCTTGATAATGATCAAGCGGGAGATAATTTTCGATAATTTTATCAATATTGATATACCAGACAAAAAGGCAAATGTCTGTGCAAGGAGGATTCACGGTGACTTATTTATTTCTCAAATGAGTGATACCTAAAAAAGATAACAAACACCTCATCAATGGCGTCCCAAAATAAAAGCCGTATAACAAAATTATAAATTGGCAAATATACATACCATTTTCAGGAGGATAAAACGAGATAACCGCACCGGGATAGTGGCGATTTTTCTCTCCACCTCGCTTCAGAGCTTCACGCTCAATGAGGGTCACTGTAAAGTTCTCCGGTGGACCAATCGTAAAATTGGAATGGCTGTCCGTTCTGTATATGTGCGGGAACTTACGTAGCAACTCCTCTTTTGAACAGTCTGTTAACAAAATGAAGATTAAGGTAAATGCAGTGTTAACTCTCATTGTTCTTTGTATGTCTAACAAGATCTTTAAGGTCTAATAAGTTTCAAGCGTGTGAATTTAGCATTAAGTTCGACATTAGGCATTTAGCAAGACATTTAAAATCTGTCGCACACCGCATTTGCCAGGACATTCAACAAGACTGTGAAATATTACCAAAACCCCTACGGCCGAATGTTGTGCAAGCATGGGAGTCGGTAAATTTTCAAATGTCCTGCGGTATGTCCTGCCAGCAGAAAATTTGGTAAAAATTTGAATTTCTTGCTGAATGTCTTATGTCGAATTCAGTGCTAAAGTCACACACTTATGATTTTTGAGGGTTCAGAGAACAAATTTTGAATAAGGTTTGTTTGGACATTGTGTTTGGCAGTTCATATAAACAGAAACTCTTTGTTTGGATTCATAAATGACATTTCAATAACATGTATGACAAAAACCAACATTTACGGTCCTATTTAAATTGGAAACGTACATTGTTCCTGACTTTAAAATATATACCTTTACTGAGAACACCGGCAGCCATTTTTGAATTTTTTTATTTTTTTTCTTCTAGAAATTCGATAGTGACTGTTCTTAAGACAGTACATTGAAAAGATAGTCTCAAGCATTTGCTTCTTCGTTTATTGACATACATATATGTAAAGAAAAAAGATGCAAAGCATTATGGGAGACCTACATTAAAATGGCTGTCGTAAGAGATGATGAGAGCTCATCTAAAAGCATCTATATTTTTTACAAATTAAATATTTTGTGAAAAAATAAATCTTTAAAACGGTAAAGCAAAGTAAAATCTTAAAAACATGACCATAATGATGTATTATCAAGTATATATTATTTGGATACATACCTTTCGGATTAACTGAATAATATGTTGACCACGTAGGATGTTGCTGAAAGAAAATAGTATAATATATGATATTTGTGTGTGTCCTAAAGAATCACAGACTTTTAGGGGACGTGGGTCTTTTGATTTACTCCTTTTTCAGTAAATATTCACATAAGTACTGCATTTTGTTACAATACCTTTAGTATTTATTTATTTATTTATTTATTTATTCATTTATTTATTCCAGCCTCATCTATATACAACATAATATAAAATATATGTATATAGCCATTCCATAAGAATTATAAGAGACTAAACATCTATAGACACTATAGCACACATAATAAGCGTACTTGTGTAAAACCTAAAAACTCAAACACACTATGGTTTCATTATAGGTCCACCAAAGGAACAAGCTTGTATGGATAATCGGCGATGTGTCCTCCCATTCATTGTATGGTAGCCAGTTTGTATCATGTATACATTTTCGTTTGACGGGACGAAAAATACAGAGGTAGGAAACGCTTAAAATACGACGGATAGTTGACGAATGTAGGAATACAAAAACATCCAACTTCCCCACCCCCACTCCATCCCCCCCCCCCCAAAAAAAATAAATAAATAAATAAAAAAAATTTCTTGCTTGCGTTTTGTATTGGTCAAAATCAATACAACTTTTTCAGGCTATTCACATTTTTGTCAAATCGCAATGAAAAGTACTTGACGCAAGAAGAAAATTAGAACAGAACAGAACAGAATATTTATTTTGACTTAAGGCATATACAGCTTATCATCAATCATGTAAACATAATACGTGTACATTCAGTCGCATGAAAATGGCAAAAAAGTTGTTAGTTGCATAGAAGGAAAATATTATATAATTTAACTAGTAAACATCAAATCAAATTGAAAAATCTATATTACACACAAGTCAACATTTGATATAATTCAACTTCAAGATTTATGTGATTGTTTCTTCCTTTAAGAGCTCTTGAAATAAATATAGACAATCTACACGATATTTTGTGATTATTACAATCTAACAGTTCAATAAACGTAAACACGACATTTTAATATAATACATCGAATCATTTTCTTTAACAGGCGATAAAACACGTGATTTTGTAGCGCGAGATTTTCATCCGCGTCGAGGGTAACGCAACCAAAAGAGAGGGCTTTTAATTTGCGCGGGAAAATATATGAACTTCCTTACTTGCACATTTTTGGGTAAAACGTTTTGAAAATAAATAACGATAAAAACTAAATATTTCAAAGTGATTTCTTTATTGCGACATTAGACTACTTTTCGGCTTAAATTACAAATGTATTTAAATTCCTCGATATAGCAAAGAGATTTGTAAGCGTGTTTTATATATAATATACGTTTGTCTTATTAAATATTCTTTTTCCAACCATGCTTTGCAATAGATATAACTTCACAACATAATAATTATGTAATGAGTACAGGTTGGCAATTTAAAACAATCATTATTACACTAAAAGATATTCAGTATCTATATTAAGTCTTAATTATTTCTTGTTAATGTTTAAGCAAATAAAGTAATTATACCTTCGTATGGAGCTCTTTGAATTCCGAGGCTGTTAATTGAATCACAAGAAAAAAATGAAACACGTGGAGGAACATTGCGACTGTATTTTATCAAAGTAAATATTAATGCTTGTGATGAAGCTTGTACTACAAATAAGTATGTCTTACTACGACAGGAAATATAGTATCTTTGCTCTATGAAAATAGATAATTCCGGTATTTAAAGTGATTTCCGAGTAGCATCTTCAAAATATAGTAGAGTACATGAGCGAATGGGTGAGTGATCCGTCTATTGATTGAAAAAAAAAATAGTCCAATATGTGTAGGGTCAATGCATTACCCATAACCCCGATGAGTTCTTTTGCTCAGAAACTGGACCAGTCCTTTTTGAAATTCAATGGATCTTAAAACTACAAAAGAATAGCTACCCATAACACAGAGAATTAGATTTAATGAAGTTGCCTCGCTTTGAAAGTGGAACAGTCCATTTGAAGTTCAAGGGATCTAAAAATGGTACAATTGCAAGGGTGTTCAGGCTAGCCTGGCTTTAATTAAACTGATGGCAAAGGCGCACTCCTCCTCACTTTCATTTTCAATAAATTGAGGGTAAAAAACGGAACCATTTACATTTGTATATACGGCTTAGAATGAAAATAAGGAACAGATGGCAATGGACGGGTTTTAACGGAATCAAAGATGTCGCAGAACTTTAGAGAAGAAGTAAGCCTTTACCACCCATGTCGAGCAAGGTCTGTCTGCAAGTCCTTGAAGTTAAACTAGGCTCTATACTGTTGTTCAATTGTCACCCTCATATCCGAAGTTCCAAACATGGAAGCTTATAAAGTCCATTTCGGAAATTTGGCAGGTACATACGACCGCCGGTTGCAGCCAGGTCGCTAAAAATCTTGCAGTATTGAACAATTTGAACGCTTGACCTGCTGAAATGGTGTAATGGATTCGCCCTGCTTTGAATTTGGAAAAGTCCATTTAAAATTAAATGGATTTCAAAATCTCAAACATTGAGCTACCAACAGTGAAGAACATGGTCATACTGTGAGGTTGTGCAGACTAGTCTGCCCCTCAATACTGGTGGCAAAGGCTATATACACTGGCCACGCTCCAGGAGGGAAAAGGACGCCTGAACAGAAAAATCACTTTTGATAAATAAAAGTACATTTACTAACCAGAATAGCAAAATTTCGTCTGCTCAAACAGGAAAGTTTTTTTAATCTAATCGGAAAATTGCATACTTATTTAATGTTTTTTATAAGTTGAAGTTAGTTAAAATTAGTAATAGTTCAAGTGATTCTCCTTACTAATAATTTTCCTCAATTGAAGGCCCGGCCTGAAATCTCTGCATTTAGTGTTAGCTTTTATAATACATGTATTTATTACTTGCTTATAGATCTATTTGATATTTTTCTCAGTGAAATTACATTTGATAATTTTCACTGTAGCCGGACTATATAAAAACATTTAATAACTAAATGGAATTATCAACAGAAATAAATTCCGTCGTATGTTAACTTTGCTTCTTTGAGAGCATCGTCGGAGACCCACGATTGATAAACATGTCACATAACATGCAAACAATGATGAATGATAATGGTTCGGCCGTGGGTATCCGACGATGCTTTGAGAGAAGCATGTCAATAACTGTATACATTGTGCAAAATTCGAGAAATTTTACAGAACTAAACTTCAACATTGGTAAAGTGACGTCATGATTTGGTGACGTCATAAAGAAGAGAACGCATGACGTTACGCGACAAAACAAGTAAAAATCACTAAAAGAAGTTAACATGAAATAAAAAGAAAATGTGTTTGTTTGGCATGAAAGAATGAAATATATTTCACTCGTGAACACCAGCTACTATAACTAAAATAGTTTAGGTATGTGATACACAGAATAATTATGATTAGATCTACGTTCACGAGTGTAGGTTCGTTATTAAATTTTATTCAACTCGTTCAATAAATTCAGCATTGAACCGACGCCGCTATGTGTTGCAAACGACAATATATAAAGGATATTGAATGAATGCAGGTTCAATTCTGAATTTATTGAATGAGTTGAATAAAGTACATTTGTATTTATATACATGTATATACATGTATGTATATAAACAATCTGAACGTTTTTAGATTTCAGAAAAAAAAACTTTACTTTTTGACCTCTTTTTACAAATTCTAAATTACTACAGATTTTTGTTAGGATGTATTCTATTTCGCCGTTACTAACGCTTTTACACTGAAAGATTTCGCCATTCTCTTTTGTTTCCTACATTTGAAAATCTTTAGAAAATTTCAATAAGGAGTTTAAATTCAAATAAGGAGAGGACATTTTTCTCATACAGTTATTCAAATTGGTCAGATATTTCCTTTATTTTGTCCCACAAACGATATCACCAGATCATATATCAAACTCTGATCATTCTTAAAACAACAACAACAACAACAAAACACTGATCTCGTGTAAAACTACCCCCTCCCCCTTCGCCGCCACCGTCCCCCCCCCCCCCGCTATCAGGCACTTGTTAAAGTTTGCGGTTTTTGTGTCAGCCTCTCCCTGACCGTAGAACACCAACGTGAGAAAATTAACGCGACACCACTTTTTCATTTTTAAGTGGTCTTGAATTCTGGTAAGAGGGAACATGATAATAAAACAAACAAAAAAAAATAAAATGGTAGTCCAATTATGGACGGATTTTGGAGGGGGTATTTATATTTAGATATGTCGGTCACTTTGATGTAAAGATAAAACTAGTCAAGTACTAGAAGTGTTTATGCTTTAAACACGCCAATGCATAAGTGAGATAACATAGATTTAACTTTATGACCTTTTAATCTATTAGTCGTTCAAAACAAATGATCAATAAAATGATAAAATCCGGCAAAAATTTAAAGAAAAATATAATTATACTAAATGAACTTATAGTCTATATATTATTTTATCTGGGACTTAAGATACGTTATCTTGGGGACTTAAAATCTTCTGTCCCATATTTATTCTGTATTTTCATTGTTAAAAACAACAGCAAACAAATCTATAATAATGTCGCAAATTTATGTTTATTATGTATTATACTTTCGTGCTTTTTACCTATTCTTTTATCATTTAGGTGTATTTTCTTCAATCATGATAATTTGATGCCAAAATGTATTTGTCATCAACAAAGCTGTGATTGTTTTATTCTTGCCACCCACGAAATAAAATAATTTTAAGGGTCATAATTCATTGCCAGAGACGGGTACACTAAAATAGCCTTTCCTGTTTGTCAATCAACGCACGTGCAAAAATAGATTCTTTAAGGTTTAAACAAAAAAGATTTTCTGATTCGCATAACGTATTGTGTCATTTAACAAACGGACAAAATGTTATCTTAATTACAATCTTCTTGATGTCATTGCACATCATTTGCGATAAATAGTTATGATACTTACATTAAGCCCATTTCTTGATCAATTAATATATATTTTGCCCCTTTATCATAGGTGCGTCATCACTGTACGCGTATAATTGATTTTTAATTACTATTGTTTGACGAGTGTATATGTCGTAATAAAATTTGATATTAAAAATCTAAATATGTCAAGTTTGCTGTTGATATTTCATGATTATTTTTAGGAAAAAGAGGATACTTTTCCCATATAAAAAACAATATGGTAAATACAAAGAAAAACATTTTCTAATTTCAAAAAAGCGCATTTTTTTAATTTGTTCACCAATTCGTCCGCGTTAAATTCGTCTTATTTTAATGTTAAATATTGTGGTTATTTTTTTTCATCAGATGTATATATTTTGAACTGTGATTTGCGTTTCCTTGCAGGAATTTTTAATTTTTCTGATGCTGATTGAATGTGTGACATTGAATATCAAGCCGGTTTACAGTACAGGTATGTCATTGTTGTGGCTCCTTTGTCTCATTTTTTTCATTTACTTATTTATTTACATATTTAATCCATTTTATTTATTTATTTATTTATTTATTTATTTATTTATTAATCTATCAATTCATTATTTCATTCATTCATTCTTTCGTTATTTCGTTCGTTCTTTCATTCGTTCATTTATTTGTTTATTTATTTATTTTTCTAATAATTTCTATTTATTCAATTAATTAATTTATTTATTTATTTGATTCATTTATTTAAACATTTGATTATTTGATTATTTGATTGACTGATTCTTCGTTTGTTGTTAATTCATTAATTAATTAGTTTATTTATTCATTCAAATAATTTTTCATAAAAATGCTTTTTTCATGTGAAGTTTTAATTTGCAATGATTTAAGTATTATGCTTGTATTTTTGTTTTAGAATTCTTATCATTCAAACCAAATTTTAGTGAAATATTGGGGCGAAATTTGAACAGACCAGTGTTCAAATTCTGTTAATTTATTCTCGGCTACTACTATAATGCACGAATGTTTGACCTAACGGGCGTCAGAATGAACGAACGGACATAAAATTGACGCATGATTAGTTAAATACGATACCTATGGTGGCGGATTTCTGCCATTTCATGTCCGCGTGTCTTTTTAGGCAAAGACACGGCGAAACGCCAAATATAAGGCACCGATACGCAGAATTCTACCCGCCGAAACGATGATTCTACAGAAGATCTCATACCTTTCGCCTATTAAAAAATCGTTATTTCGATCTAAAGTCGATGGGTGTGGTGAAAGCGGCAAGTAAGACATTTAGACCCCTTGACTTCTCGACCCCTTACGATATTAAAATGACTTCTAGACCTCTTGACACTTAGACCCCTTTTTACATGACTTTTCGACCCTTAGTGGGTAAGACATTTCGACCCCTTTCTCTTCGATTTTTGTACTTTTAAGTGAGCATAGTATCGTGTCTTCACCTTCGACATTTTATGTCAGAAATTAGCCATCATAGTTGTTGATAATTTTTTTTCCAAATATATATTTGTACTACCAGACAAGAACTTGAAGTAGGGACGTTCGACATACTGTTCGGGAACAGTTCAGGATGAAGAATGCTGTCGATTCCAAAATACGTCTAATTCAAGACCTATATATGAATGGCTGATCCTGTTTTTAAATTCAAATTTAATTTTGCAGAAATAGGTGCGCCTTGTTCGTTATATTGGGATTGCAGAAGTAAGACGGTTGATAACCTCGTATGTACAGAGAGTTTCTGCGCGTGTGATTCCGGTTACAAGCCCGTGGGTACCCTTTGCGAACCAGGTAATATGCTCTGAGATTTTGCTTTACATAATTCACGACTGCCATGACTTCTGATTATGACATCTAATTGTCATGATTATGTTAAACTGTATTGATAAACTTATTCATTATTGATGTAGCAACCCCAGACTATTTATTAAAGTAATTGATATGTTTATGCAATTATATCCAAGTGAGACCTTTTAGAAACTTCATAGAACAGTTTGATTTTTTTAAAAATTTATTTCTTCTTATAAAACAGTTATGATCTTTTAAAATAAAGGTCACAAAATTTGAGACAAATACCTTTCACCACTTCACTTTGGATTTGAGTATTATGATTTTCTTATAACTGGATATTGAAACTATTTTGCAAAGTCCTAATCACAGGCGTTCGACACATGATATGTCTTGCCAATAATGGTTAATTTGTCATACAATAATTTCCCCTTGATCATCAAGATCAAAATTATAACCCAGCACCCGTTTACAATATATTATATATACAGTATACTATAAATAGTAAACGGGTATGGAACGCCTGGACTGTCTTATGTTAAGATTGAATGATATACCTGGTTAAATGTCTTTCTGTTGAGTCCGAGATACAAAATGCTGGGTGGAAATCCTAATGTGCTCAGTTATTGAAGTGCTATGTTGTGTGCTGACTGTATTTTATTCAGTCAAGTCAATGTATTGTCGGGTGCATAAGTCGTTATGTTCAGTTCTTAAAACAAACAGGCATGTGGAAACACAATTATGTTGAGTTAAAAAGATATGTTGTAGGGTGTTACAGTTATTATGTTCGGTTATAATAATATGCTGTTTGGTGCTCTTCTCATCATGTTCAACCATGAAAATAAACAGTTGAGTGGTACTATCATTTTGTTTGGTTGAGGCAGTGTATTATTGGGTGATACTTTTATTATTTTCAGTTGCAATGACATGCTGTTGGGTGCTTTATTCCTTCTGTTCAGTCGTGAAATAGAACTGTTAAATGGTACAATCATTATCTTAAATGGTACTATCATTATCTTGTGTGCTGATTATATCTTCTTCAGTCAAGTCAATGTGTTGTTCGGTGCAAAGGTCGTTATGTTCAGTGGTTTTTTGGTACTATCATTATGTTCAGTTCAGATGATATACTGTTCGGTGCAGAGGTCATTATGTTCAATAGTGAACGCAAACTGTTGTGTGATACAACCATTATGTTGGGTTCATTCGGATATTTTCGGGCAACAAGATGGGAGAGGTCACGTCGAGGCTAATGACCACTAAATTGCCAAAACAATTTTCTTCCCTATAAATATTATCGGGGGGCTTAAGAACGTTATTTTCATAAATTGGACTTTTAAATACCCTATGGGTATTTATTAGTTGATTCATGACTATACTATACTGTTACAGTCATAATGGGTACAGTATATATAAAACTTAAAATATGGGTAAGGGTAGCCTGTTAAAGTTACACGTGACCACCGTAAATAAAACTTAAAATTTATCTGTTTGGTAACCTATAAGAGTCACAAATGGACACAGCAAACGAAATTTATAATATAAAACATCATATTCAAGTAAGGGAACCCTATTTGAATCACACATGGCCACAGTATATGGAGCATATAAGTAAGGGTAGCCTATTAAAGTCACATATGGCCACAGCATATACGACTTAAACTGTATTTGTTGGTAACCCATTTGAGTCACACATAACCACAATAAATGGGACATAATATTTAAGTAAGGGAAACCTATTTGAGTCACACATGGCCACAGTATATGGAACATTAGATATAAGTAAAGGTAGCGCAATAAAGTCACACATACCCACATTATGAAGAACATTCTATATAAGTAAGGGAAACCTAATTGAGTCACACTAGGCCAAAATATATGGAACATTATATTTAAGTTAGGGAAACCTTTTTGAGTCACGCATAACTAAAGTATATGGAACATTATATATAAGTAAGGGTAGCCTAATAAAATTAGACTCAAATACATTTCCCTGACTTAAACATTATGTCTAATATATTGTGGCCATATGTGACTCAATTAGGTTTCACTTACTTATAAAGAATTTTCTTTATACTTTGGCCATGTTTGACTTTATTAGGCAACACTTACTTATATATAATGTTCCATTTACTGTGGTCATGTGTGTCTCAAATGGGGGTTCCATACTTATATTTAACGTTCTTTATACTGTGGCCATGTGTGACTCAAATAGGTAATTGTTTTGGCAATTTAGTGCTCATTAGCCTCGACGTGACCTATGGAAATTAGTTGCTCCCGCCCGCCATCTTGTTTGACGCGAAGAAATCCGAATGAACCCAACATAATTGTATGACCACTCAGCGCATTGTCAAATGACTTGTGCACCGAACAGTATATCATCTGAACTGAACATAATGACGGTATCACACCACAGTTTGTGTTCACTACTGAACATAATGACTTCAGCACCGAACAGAATATCATCTGAACTGAACATAATGACGGTATCACACCACAGTTTGTGTTCACTACTGAACATAATGACCTCTGCACCAAACAGGATATCATCTGAACAGAACATAATGACGTTATCACACCACAGTTTGTGTTCACTACTGACCATAATGACTTCTGCACCGAACAGAATATCATCTAAACTGAACATGATGACGGTATCACACCACAGTTTGTGTTCACTACTGACCATAATGACTTCTGCACCGAACAGAATATCATCTGAACTGAACATAATGACGGTATCACACCACAGTTTGTGTTCACTACTGAACATAATGACCTCTGCGCCAAACAGGATATCATCTGAACTGAACATAATGACGGTATCACACAACAGTTTGTGTTCACTACTGAACATAATGACTTCTGCACCGAACAGTATATTATCTGAACTGAACATAATGACTTCTGCACCGAACAGTATATCATCTGAACTGAACATAATGACCTCTGCACCGAACAGTACATCATCTGAACTGAACATAATGACTTCTGCACCGAACAGTACATCATCTGAACTGAACATAATAACGGTATCACACAACATTTTGTGTTCACTACTGAACATAATGACTTCTGCACCGAACAGTATATTATCTGAACTGAACATAATGACTTCTGCACCGAACAGTATATCATCTGAACTGAACATAATGACCTCTGCACCGAACAGTACATCATCTGAACTGAACATAATGACTTCTGCACCGAACAGTATATCATCTGAACTGAACATAATAACGGTATCACACAACATTTTGTGTTCACTACTTAACAGAATGACCTCTGCACCGAACAGTACATCATCTGAACTGAACATAATGATAGTACTATTCAACAGTTCTATTTCACGACTGAACAGTCTGAATAAAGCACCCAACAGCATGTCATTTCAACTGAAAATGATAAAAGGATCACCCAATAATACACTGCCTCAGCCAAACGAAATGATAGTACCACTTAACAGTTTATTTTCATGGTTGAACATGATGAGAAGAGCTATTTCAACCGAACATAACAACTGTCATACCCTACAACATATCTTTTTAACTCAACATAATTGTGTTACCACATGCCTGTTTGTTTTAAGAACTGAACATAACGACTTATGCACCCGACAATACATTGATTTGACTGAATAAAATACAGTCAGCACACAACATTACACTTCAATAACTGAGCGCATTTGGATTTCCACCCAGTATTTTGGGATTTTGACCCAGCATATTGTATCTCGGACTCAACAGAATCACATTTAACCATGTATATCAGTCATTCTACACATAAGACAGTCCAGGCGTTCCATAAACGGGTGTTGGTCTTGATGATCAAGGGGAAATTATTTATAATGGTGATTTGTGGTCTATACCGGCCATATAAAATGGTTTACGTCACATACTCCGTCATTACATTCATTTTCATTAGATGTATTCTTATCAATATTTCAACATATGTTGGTTATCTTTTAGCTCTAGATGGGAATTGTACGGTAGATTCTGACTGTACGACGTACTTAAGCAATTCTGAGTGCACGAGTAATTCGTGCAGTTGCATTACTGCGTACAAACCGGACAATAATCTGTGCACGGCGGGTAATTATCATTTATCAGTTTATGTTCCTTTTTGCATTGGTAATGTGCTTGACCTGTTCCGAAATAGAACGAGTTTTCATTTCGATCAATATGTTCAAAGTGGAAAAATAGGTAAGAAATTCAGGAGTTCAATGGAAAATTATTACAAGTTTAAACAAAATTTAAATTTTGCTGTTCCTTCTAAGTAAAACTCAAATACCTTTTTTTTTGGATAATCATACTTTTATTATTTTTATACACGGTGATTAAATTTTACTCAAAACAATTTCAATTTTTCTCGTAGATCTATTTTTACGGCTGGGGTTAACAATACAACAACCTTTTATATTCCCAAATAATTGCAAAGATCTTTTAAAATTTAATAATTGCTTTATCAAAATTATTGCAAACAACCAAAAATTAAAGCGTAAATTTATGAAAGGGTTAGAGTGCATTTTGGGGTTTTTTCGAAATAAGAAAAAAAGGGAGGGAAATGATTTTCATTTTACAAGAAAACCAATTGGGCACTTCCATTATGGCCCACTTGGTTTTAAAATAAAAAGGGTATTAATATAAAAATCTGCTATTGTTTTTTGAAACCTAAAAAATTTAAAAAACCCTGCATGTTTTGTCCGGGGAAAATTTCTAAAAATACAGCATCCCCTATTTGAGCCCAAACAAAGATCGGAAAGTTTTGATTGTTACTAATTTTTTATAAAAATAAAATGTGGCTTTTAAAATTTGGGAAAATTGATTGTTTCATTATCATGGCGACTGGACAAAGTTCGGAAATTTTTAAACCCCTTAAAAGCCAAATCAAAAGTGATTTATTTTCTACGTGTGTTGGGCACTGATTACACCTATGATAGAAAGCGCACGGCCAAAAGGGCGACCACGACCCCCTGAAAAGCACTACCGCAGCGCCTATTGGTAAGTAAATACTGTTAAATACCACCTAAAGACCACGCCTAAAATAGGACCACGCTGCTATTACGGATATCTTTCAAAAGTAAAAAATATGTGCCTTCTTTATTCATGAGAAAAAGTATCACTATTATACAGTGGTCTTAATATAGAGAGTTGACTGTACAACATAAATAACAAATTAATCATTAGCATTTCCAAAAATGTCAGGAATCGCTGTTCAGTCGTCGGGTGTTCGATTGTTTGTGTGAAATAGACTTCTTCCGAAACAAAAGAGCTAACTTTTCTTCTTTCCCATATATTGTTTACCCACACACTAGTTTCGAGCTTCGTACATAAAGATAGTATTTCAATTCTTTTCATAGGTAGCTGGCGAATGGCGTGCCCCGTATGCGCCCCTTTTGAGATATTTTGTCGTCAGTTTGGTTATCATGTGGTATTAAATTCTCCGTTTTGATTGGCCTAAAGCAAGCGGTGTCAGGGTAGAAAAAAAATGCTTAGTTTCAATGTATAAACATTGATCTACTTTTAATCGTACCATGTAACTTTATATTTGAATTATTCCATATCATGTTTAAGACACCTCCGCGGTTAATGTGTTATTCTACCCGTGATATAGCTTACAAATAATTCTACACATTAATATTATCTGTTTCAGTGCTTGGGAGTGCATGCACGGGGACTGCTGACTGTGAGGTTACGAACTCAGTTTGTACAAACAATGTGTGCGTCTGTGCCACTGGATATAAGGAATCATCAGGCACTTGTGCGCAAGGTTGTTTTTTTACAATTTAATTACCGATTTAAGTTAAGCCTGCTATTTACGACAGGTTTTATCCGTGTTAATAACGTGACCCGTGCAGACATAGATCAGCCGGCACACCCTCGCCATGTGATTATGGCCTGCACAGTTCACTTTCCAGTTAGTTCATCTCATTGACATCATTGAAATGGTTAAGTCCATATTAAAAGATGAACAGGTCACGAGTGCTTTCCCTTTGAAACCAGCGCATACTATTTGCAAGCCTAAGCGCTAACGGAAATCGAAAATTTTGTTTTGGCGTTGTTGATTTATATGTTACGGCATCTGTGAAGTTTAAACTCAAATGTGAATCAAATTTAAATTTTGCATATTCATTAAGATTAGGAAATACATGTAGATATTAACAGCGGGAATTGTTGTATAGAGGTTTTCAAAGTCCATAAAACGCTTTTAAAAGTGTGTTTTTTGTAAATAGTTTGCTACTAAGTAGCAATCATTCTCACCTGGCTCCTTGTGTATACCCTTTAAAACGGCATTTACCTTCGCTACCTGTACAGCCTGACATGTAGTCTCTATAATGACGGTGGCCAATTAATTTTGATACCTTAGATTCTTAAATTTTGATGTTGAAATCCCGTAAACCTTTAATATTAATGTTCCTAGTCGGTCAAACCTAGTTCTGTTGGTTGGTTGTTCTGTTTTAAAGCATTTGAGCCGTGTCACGACAAAACCAACATAATGGGTTTGCGATCAGCATGGATCCAGACCAGTCTGATCTGCGCAGTCTGATCAGGGATCCATGCTGTTCGCTTATAGACCCTATAACAAGTAAAGAAACTGACAGCGAACAGCATGGATCCTGATCAGACCGCGCAGATCAGGATCTGATCTGATCTGCGCGGATGTGCAGGCTGGTCTGGATACATGCTGGTCGCAAACCCATTATGTTAGTTTTGTCGTGACGCGGCTCATTTATGTTTTTGGTTATATAACCGTTATTTGTTATAATTCGTAGTTTTGGACGGAAGTTGTTCAGTAGACTCTGACTGTAGCACGGCTGTATCGAACTCAAGATGTTGCAATGGTACGTGCTTATGTTCATCCGGGTACAAACCAGAAAACCTCGTCTGTGAAACTGGTACGTAATTGTTTACGGGTGTTAATAAGGGATGTCCAAGTTTTTTCCTCTATAAATACAATATTTAATTTCATTGAGTGGTAAGAAAATAAATATTTCATGAGTGGCGGTAGCAACGAGTGTTATATGATACATGGAATTTTCATACAACAAGATGAAAATAAATCCTGCATTGATAGAAAAAAAAACTTGATTTTTCTGTTTATTATATATATTATTCTCTTTATTGACATTACAACTTGGGAGACTTCCCTTTTAAATTTTGTGAATTGGCTTAATTTATAAGAAATTAGTCCCGCAAGACACCAGTCAAACTACGGAATATATGTTTACAGATGAAAATACACATTTCATTTCATCAATATTTCTCGATATTTCATTTATATTTAATGTCATTATGAAAATTTATAAAGTCATAGTACTTTAGATATTCCGAAATTCGATAAGATTGGCTACTCCGTGAAAAACATGTTTAACTTGAAAAATAACCCCTGGAATGTGATGGTGCGTGCGGTGTTATAGAGGTACGGCTGCATATGGGTACGGTGGCACATATGTGTCGTATGTTTAACGACAAGTCTGCTTATTTGTTTTATAATACCAGATATGTCGTGGCATTCCCACGATTATTCCCGTGACAGCGCTATTTTCCCACGAGTTTGAAAATTGTTCTCTCGAGTTAGTTATTGGTTCCCCTGAAATCGCTGACATACAATATTTTTTATAACACAATTGTTTGTTTCTATTTTGAATGCAATACTGTCTTTAGATATGCACTTCTCTTTTCCTATTTCGGTCACACAAAGTGACTCGTTATCTCAAGAACAAGACATAAAATGAAAAGTACAAATTACTGAAAAAACAACAATAAAAAACAAACAAACAAAAACACACAAACACAAGCACACACATACTTGTACATGTTTCTATTAGAGGTCAGGACTATGATTTATACCCGCTTTTCGAAGACCCTTTTTAAATGTGGTCTGAGAAGATTGAATTGACATAGAGTGGAATTTATTTCCGATGAGTACAGGCTATGCTATAGAAATTCTACATACTCTTCATTGGTTAGTAGAAAAACTAAATGAGGACCTGTCACGTTTTGATATACTTCTGAGGAACACCTAATGAGGACCTTCATTTGCATATTTTTCACAATTCCAAATCAAATATCGTTATGAGGACTGTTACTAAAAGTCAATTCGAGGACTTACACTTTTTACACAACTTCAAGTCATACATTGCATATGTGGACTTATTCGTTTAATCAATTGGAGGACTTGTTTACACAATTCCAAATCAAAAATTGTTATGAGGACTGTTACTAAACACTAACTCTCACATTTCATAAATTCTAGGACTGAAAAATGAACTTTCTCGTATATCAAAAAAACATATTCCATTCCAAAATTATTTAGACATATTAAAATATAAAATATTACCAGTACAGATGTCCTAGATTTGCGCCTATGACAGGATTTTTAGATAGTACCAGAAAATAAATTTCGCACACATGCACACACGCACAAAGTCCCATTTTGTTTTAGTGTTTAAGTGTTGTGATCTCAATTGACTATAATTTCAAATTTATTGATTATTTAGTGTACTCAAGTAGTTGTGGCAGCAGCCCAGATTGTAGCACGTACATGGCGAACATCAGATGCGACTTTTTCTTATTCTTGTGCCTATGTTCAAAAGGTTACACCTATAACGAAAGTACTTTAGTATGTGACGACGGTACAGGGACTGCCAGCACGAGCACCGTGACGTATTCTAGTGGCTGTGTCACTCAGACTGATAACGTTGCGACTACCGTTGCTGCAACTCAGACTGATAACGTTGAACGTACCTATGCGGCATCAACAGATACTGGCACTACAGTAGGTAAGCTAATGAGTATCTTATAATATGTAAGAAAACAAGGGAAAATGTAAGAAAAAAGATGAGAATGTAAGAAAACAAGGAAAATGTAAGAAAACAAGGAAAATGTACGAAACTAGAGAAAGTGTAAGAAAACTAAAGAAAATGTAAGAAAACGAGGAGAATGTAAAAAAACTAGAAAAAATGTAAGAAAACTAGAGAAAATGTAAGAAAACAAGGAAAATGTAAGAAAACGAGGAAAATGTAAGAAAACTAGAGAAAATGTAAGCAAACCAGAGAAAATGTTGGAAAACAATGGAAATGTAAGAAAACAAGGAAAAATGTAAAAAAAAAACGAGGAAAATGTAAGAAAACAAGGAAAATGTAAAAAAACACGAGGAAAATGTAAGAAATCGAGTAAGAAAACGAGGAAAATGTAAGAAAACGAGTAAGAAAACGAGGAAAATGTTAGAAAACAAGGAAAATGTAAGAAGACGAGGAGAATGTAAGAAAAAAAGGAGAATGTAATAAAACGAGGAGAATGTAAGAAAACTAGAGAAAATATAAGAAAACGAGGAGAATGTAAGAAAACGAGGAGAATGTAAGAAAACTAGAGAAAATGTAAGAAAACTAGAGAAAATGTAACAAAACCAGGAAAATGTAAGAAAACGAGGAAAATGTAAGAAAACTAGAGAAAATGTAAGCAAACCAGAGAAAATGTAAGAAAACAATGGAAATGTAAGAAAACAAGGAAAAATGTAAAAAAACGAGGAAAATGTAAGAAAACAAGGAAAATGTAAAAAAAACGAGAAAAATGTAAAGAATCGAATAAAAAAACGAGGAAAATGTAAAAAAAACACGAGGAAAATGTAAGAAATCGAGTAAGAAAACGAGGAAAATGTAAGAAAACGAGTAAGTAAACGAGGAAAATGTTAGAAAACGAGGAAAATGTAAGAAGACGAGGAGAATGTAAGAAAAAAAGGAAAATGTAATAAAACGAGGAGAATGTAAGAAAACTAGAGAAAATGTAAGAAAACGAGTAAGAAAACGAGGAAAATGTTAGAAAACAAGGAAAATGTAAGAAGACGAGGAGAATGTAAGAAAAAAAGGAGGAAAATGTAAGAAAACAAGGAAATGTAAAAAAACACGAGGAAAATGTAAGAAATCGAGGAAAATGTAGAAAACGAGTAAGAAAACGAGGAAAATGTTAGAAAACAAGGAAAATGTAAGAAGACGAGGAGAATGTAAGAAAAAGGAGAATGTAATAAAACAAGGAGAATGTAAGAAAACTAGAGAAAATATAAGAAAACGAGGAGAATGTAAGAAAACGAGGTGAATGTAAGAAAACTAGAGAAAATGTAAGAAAACTAGAGAAAATGTAACAAAACCAGGAAAATGTAAGAAAACGAGGAAAATGTAAGAAAACTAGAGAAAATGTAAGCAAACCAGAGAAAATGTAAGAAAACAATGGAAATGTAAGAAAACAAGGAAAAATGTATAAAAACGAGGAAAATATAAGAAAACAAGAAAAATGTAAAAAAAACGAGAAAAATGTAAGAAATCGAGTAAGAAAACGAGGAAAATGGAAGAAAACGAGGAAAATGTTAGAAAACAAGGAAAATGTAAGAATACGAGGAGAATGTAAGAAAAAAGGAGAATGTAATAAAACGAGGAGAATGTTAGAAAACCAGAGAAAATTTAAAAAGAGGGAAAATGTAAGAAAACAAAGAAAATGTAAGAAAACGAGGAGAATGTAAGAAATCGAGGAGAATGTAAGAAAACTAAAACTAGAGAAATAGTGAGACAACTAGAGAAAATGTAAGAAAACTAGAGAATATGTAACAAAACAAGGACAATGTAAGAAAAAAAGGAGAATGTAAGAAAACGAGGAGAATGTAAGAAAACTAGATAAAAATGTAAGAAAACGAGTAAAATGTTAGTAAAGGAGGAAATTGTAAGAAAACTAGAAAAAAAGTAAGAAAACTAGAGAAAATGTAAGAAAACGAGGAGAATGTAAGAAAACTAGAGAAAATTTAAGAAAGCAAGGAGAATGTAAGAAAACTAGGAGAATGTAAGAAAACTAGAGAAAATGAAATAAAACTAGAGAAAATGTAAGAAAATGAGGAGAATGTAAGAAAACTAGAGAAAATGTAAGAAAACTAGAGAAAATGTAAGAAAACAAGGGCAAGTAAGAAAACTAGAGAAAATTTAAGAAAACGAGGAAAATGTAAGAAAACTAGAGAAAATGTTAGTAAACAAGAATAAATGTAAGAAAACGAGGAAAATGTAGGAAAACTAGAGAAAATGTAAGAAAACGAGGAGAATGTAAGAAAACTATAGAAAATGTAAGAAAACGAGGAAAATGTAAGAAAACTTGAGAAAATGTAAGTAAGCAAGAGAAAATGTAAGAAAACGAGGAAAATGTAAGAAAACTAGAGAAAATGAAAGTTAACCAGAGAAAATGTAAGAAAACAATGGAAATGCAAGAAAACAAGGGAAAATGTAAGAAAACGGATGGAAATGTTAGAAACATTTGAAAATGGAATGAAATCAAGAAAATTATAGAAAATGATGTAAAATGAGTGAAACTGACAAAAACAGAGGAAAAATGTTGTAGTATGTAAAAAATGACGTAAACATTTAAAAAAAGTCATAAAATACGTAGGAAGAAATGTAAGAAAATGTGAAAAAAATAAAAAGGAAGAAAATAGTAAAAATGACGAAAAAAAACAAAAAAAAAACGAAACGTCACAGGGAAAATATTTTAATGTGAAGGAAAATGTAGGCAAATGGGAAAATGTGGGAACAGGCAAAGAAATTAGATCGTACAAACTTCCAGATTCATGCTAACTTTTTTATGAAAATTTAAAATATTTATTCAAAAGTACAATATATAAAGTATTGTGAAGTGAACAAAGTAAGTTACTTTTACATTTATCAATAAGAGCACTTTCAATACACGTCAATTACCAAAACGAGGTCAAAGTATGCAAAAATAATTCTTACTGCGTTAGTCACGCATTACATGTAATGATAAATGCTGAAAAGAAGCCATTAATCGCAAATAAAATGTAAATCACTACTTGAATCTTGAATGGTTTTTCGATTTTAAATCTTAGTACTTTTGTCTTAAGTTTGATTTTCTTGAAATATTTTGGCCCACCTTAAGGCACAGTTAAATCGTTATCGATATGTAGCGAAATTGTCAACCAACTCATGCAACCACTATGTAACTACTCTACATTTATTATCATATTTAAGTTTACAGTCTTAGAAATACAAATGTGACAATTAATGTGTTTTATTATGTCATTTCCGGATTTTGATTTTCATTATGTCAGTTTTGAGAATCATAAATTCTTTTGAGACACAGTGATCTATTACAGGTTATGGTGAACAATGTTCGGCAACATCTGATTGTGTGGCCCATTCATCATGTACGCGCGGCACGTGCTCTTGCAATGCGGGCTACAGAACCAACGGAACTATGTGCCAGAAAAGTAATTTGATTAACACTCTTAAATATCTATTTCAAACTCTTAAATAAGTACTTGTTCTGTCTTAGTATTTGATTTAATCATTGTCACCGAATCTCTCATAGTCCTCTTAGTATGGTGGGACAGAGGGGACATCGGAATTATCATTTATCACGCGCGCTTTAGTTAAATACCATTTGCCTTTATTAACCACCCAACGTGCCCACCTATTATAAATGTGTGCGATTGTTAACTTTTAATTAACAGATGAACATGTATGAGTATTAACTACCTCGTGCGTATATATACGTGATCATTTTCAAGGTCTTCTGTGTAAATTGTTATCAATGAGATTATGTTTTGAACAATATGTTATGTGCATGTTACTTGACATATGTGTTTTGCAGTTATTGGTGGACCTTGTGTATACACATCCCAGTGTACATACTACGAACCCAACTCCAACTGCATAATCGGTTTATGCACGTGCCTGGACGGGTACTATGAGACAGAGGTGCTTTGTTCAAAAGGTATTTATAGAATTTTTCATTATTCATTACTAGTTTAACATGTTTATTGAGGTGAATAAATCAGTCAATCTTCTTTTTATAGTGACACATTTAAAGCTTTATGTCCACCAGTCATTCGCCGATAAGAACACTTAATATTAAAACTGCCCAAACAAAGGAGATATGGCCTCTAGTTTCAATCCGAGTTCGGGCGAACTTAATTTCATATACTTTTCTGTTAAATACGGCTGACTGGCCATTGATATTTTTAATGACAATTGAGGATACATTTTAGCTTTTAGTTCAAGGTCCGGAAATGGTAAGAAGCATAATATATTATTTATCACTTTACCCATTGTACGTAGTCGGTGATCGGGTGCTTTCAAGGTAGGAAGCTAGTATTCGGATCGCTTGAGGCAGGAAGATGTTTATATTACAGCACTGCTTAGGTGACTCATGGCCTTCTGTCTGCAACAGTTTCTATATCTGCACTGTTTACTATTCATTAAGTAGTCATTTTGTTTTTTCCTCCTAAAATTGATGAATGGTTCTGTTTATATTGAAAGATGGACAATTTTAAGATATTGAAGTAGAAAGGGTTAAAATATGCCGACCGGAAAGGCAGTTTTAGGTCGACCTCGACTAGTTAAAACTGTACAGTCGACACCCGCCTTCATACGGTCAACATGTCATAAATTCAAGCATTTTGAGATGAATTACCGGAACTTTATTTCAACAACATCCTGGTGATATAGTATAATTTTTTTTCAGGGGCACAAGCGCAGACCTTCAGCTTGTTGGTAGTCGTTGCTCACGTGCTACTTGTTGCTATGGGAACGTAGCGTTTACCTTCATCTTTATAAGGCGGATGATAAACAAACATTAAAGAAAAACTATTTTAATTGTTTAGGGGTTGCATAGAAGTGATTAACACAACTGCATCAATAACAGGTCATTTATATATACATGTATTAACATAGTCTACTTATGCGACAAGTGCAGACCAAGATTAGCCGGAATCCGGGCCGTCTGGTCACGGTCTGCACTGTTCGCTACTATTCTAAGATTTACTCTTTTAATATAAAGTAAAATAATAACGTCAAGTGAAAATAAAAAAGTATTTCGAGATACAGTTAACATAAAAACCTAACGATCCACATACTATATTAAAAGTTGTCAGAGTATACCAAAAATAGCCATTAAACCGTTAGTAACGGGAAAGAAATGTGGTGATTTACAAAATTTTGAATCAAATTATCTTTCGCATGCTGCATACAAAACATGCATGGATTGTTAAAATTGTATACATACTGACACTGGATATTCTTTGAAGTTTTGTTGACTCACCTTAGGCGTTCTGCTTGCTTTTCTCGCTCACCTGAGTGGTGTTCCTTTGACACTGTATGTAAAATTGGCAAATATTGTATTACTACATTGTATCGTTGCATTGTTGAATTATTTTAAAAAAGCTAAAACTTGAAAACACTGTGAATAGAAAATTTGCCATCTGGAGATTGTACAATTCACTTAGGATGAAAATTCTTCCTAATGAATTAGTGTCATTCTAGATGGTACAGTTACAAAGAAATATTTTCATATGCAAATATGTATAATTATGTATTTGAGAAGCATCATGCTCCATCATTATCTGACCCCATTGCAATAACTTTATAATCAATTTTTCATAAAATGTATGGACACACTTTGATGAGTTCTACCACTCAGATTTTATATGAGGTAAAATAGTCAAAGGTCAAGGTCTGTGTGATTTTTAATAGGTAAAATGTTAAGGTCAATTTACTCAGAAACTGTCACAACCATTCATTTTAATTTTGTTTACTTGTCCAATTTCATCACCTGATAAAATATCACATGGGCAGATAATCTTAAAATTATACCCATTTTTCAGTTATTTTTTTTTGTTGGCCTTTTTGTTTAAGTTTATATCTCAAAAACAATCAAAGATATTCATTTTAAATTTGGATTATTATTCACTTCAAAATTTAAAAGCCATGACTAAAGGGCAGACAACCCGAATAATATATTGGCTAAATTATCTCCCTTTCATTTCTTTATAAAAAATTTCTTTATCAAATATTCTCATCATTTATTCAAAAAAAATCATTGATATTCTCTTCTAGCTTGAAATACTTGTTGAATTACTAAGGAAATATAATTGGTGAACAGTATATCAGAATTATGTCCCTTTTTCTTCTTCACTTTAAATTACCATACTATCAAAGTATCAAATACAGAGAAAAGTGGGCAAGCTGATCCTTGGACAGCTTTTGTTAAATTTTCACTAAAAAATTGAATCCTTGCTGAAAGTTAGGCAAGTTCATTTAAGATATTTAGCGTAGTAAGCATTACTATATTAATCTTTAAACTATTATGATGCTTAAGACGTTCCCATTGTACGTCTAAATTCAATTTTAAAGGGGTTTGGTCTTCAACGGGCACATTTTCCAGAAGTATTTCAAAAATTGATCAAAAAACAATAGAAATGTATTATTTGGATATTTGTATAATATATTGCTTGAAAACTGTTGATATTAAAATTCTAAGTGATTTAGTATGAGCATTTTTAGGATTAATAATCATATTTTATTCTAGAAGATTATATTATTTGCTATGTTGATATATGTTTATTATATGTGTGATATATGTTTGTTATATGTGTTATATATGTTTGTTATATGTGTGATATATGTTTGTTATATGTGTGATATATGCTTATTATATGTGTGATATATGTGTGATATATGTTTGTTATATGTGTTATATATGTTTGTTATATGTGTTATATATGTTTGTTATATGTGTGATATATGTTTATTATATGTGTGATATATGTTTGTTATATGTGTGATATATGTTTGTTATATGTGTTATATATGTTTGTTATATGTGTGATATATGTTTGTTATATGTATTATATATGTTTGTTATATGTGTGATATATGTTTGTTATATGTGTGATATATGTTTGTTATATGTGTGATATATCACAACGTTTACTTATTTACTGTAGGTTTAAATTATCTTTTAACTTTGAAACATATTTAAATTCAATAAGTGAAAGGAAATTTCGGATTGCCTTTAGTAGATTTAGATTATCTTCGCATATTTAGAAATAGAAAGAGGTAGATTATACAATTATTGACTAGTGAGCCATTGAATATGATGTGATATTCACCGGCAGATGACATATTGACCGAGGCGATAGCCGAGGTCAATATGACTTTCTGCCGGTGAATATCACATCATATTAAATAGCTCACTAGTCAATAATTGTTTTATTATATGAATAGGCTAAGAAATAAAACAATCACAAAAAGTACAACATTATATACATGTACAAATTTTGCCTCGTTGGAGCGTGGAAAAAAAGACGCACGTGTTAGGCGTGCAACGATTACGCGAACGCTGATTATGTTTCCCGCTATTGTGGGACTTTTGCATATATTGAAAATAAAATCTGAAAATCTGCATACAAAAGTAACTCAAGTTTATACTCATTATTGCGGTTTAGCCTTTAACCCTTTCGCTGCCAGAGGGTTATTGTTTTATTGTTCACCTATTTGCCGGAGGATTTTCTAAGAAATTACTATATTATTAATTAATATAATTATTATTATTTGTTATTAGTATTATAATAATTATATGCGTTTCCAAATCTGTTAGTATAATAATAATTATTGTCGATGGTATAATTTTCTTTATATTTATTATTATTTTTATTATTATTATTAATATTTTTTTATTATTACTATTATTATTATAGAAACGGCTAAAGCCGTCCATATGGCAAATACGCCGTAAATAACAGGGACGGCTTAATCCGTCCCTATGGCAGTGAAAGGAAGTATAATAGTAAAGTAACGATATTTTAACCGAGAAATATGCCATAAAGAACAAAAAGCAACAATTATTTTTAATCAACACGAGTTATTAACAGTCTACGCTGTATGATCCTCAGTCTATTTTTAGACTGGGAAAATCCAATTCAGCCAGTGAATATGATACTACACCCAGTAAATATGATTTTATAAAAAGTTCTGTTGACTACTGTTTGGACCAATGAGATTGCAGCTATATTTAGATCATATAATAAATCTTAATATAGAACGAACTAATAGAATATGTAAATTTTGCAACCAAGATAATAATTGAAGATGAGTATCATTTTCTTCATGTCTGCCCAATATATCGAGAAATAAGGAAAAAATACTTCAAACCATATTTTTGTAGGTGGCCAACTCTAATAAATTCGATAGACTGATGTCCACAGATAATGAAAGACAATTGTTAAACTTATCAAAATATTTTTTTTTTCAAATAAATTAAGGAATAGTTTAGAAATTTGATAATTATTATATTGGTATCGTTGACTGCTAATGATTTCTCGTGTCATTTGTCACCTTAAGTCAATTGTATATTATGGCTAAAAGCATTGTAATGCTTAATTGCTAAATAAATGTTGTTGTTGTTGTATATAGGTTTGTTATATGTTTGACCGGATCATGTATCTCACACCTGCTAAAATATACGTATAAATTTATTTCGTGGTTTGTTGTTTAATACTAAATGATGTCAACGTAATAATTCATTGTATTACGGACCTGTGGGTTCCCCTGGAGATGCTTTGGTAGTTTAGCGCGGAGGAAGGTCACGTGATGATGGCAGTAAGATGTAAACAAACCGGATCAGATTTTAATTTATGATATATGATGATATAAATACACAAATATTAACGCAAAATAGTCTGAATGACATTGTAAGTACATGTGTGTGAAACGTTGCTCAAATTCTAAGAGAAAAGAAAGGTAAATAGCGAAAATGAAAGCAACTGAAGATCAAGGTGATATTACCCCACCCACTAGAAAACAGAAATCAAAGGTCCAGCATAGAAGAAGTGATCATTTTGAATGTCAAAACAACGCAAATAAAGACATAGATATAAACAATGATAATTATTCGCATACAGGTTGCCAATTATCAGCGGTACATCATCTCGGCCAAGCGCGGCATGTACTTTACTCACCCCCACCCCCACCCACCCACAATATTGAACATATAAACTATCAAATGAATGATACATATGGGGCAAGTAATACAAACGTGTCACAGGGTAATTTATCACAATTACACCCCCCACCATTTGTTCACCGAGATCTAAATGAAATACCGCCATGGATTCATATTCTGCATGGATTAGAATCAAGATTAGATGCCAGATTAAATGGAATAGAATCCCAACTGCAAAAACAAGGTAGTAACTGGCAAAACCTAGAACAAATTCTACAGTCTCAAAATGACAAAATAAAGAAACTAGAAGATAAAATTGAAGCAATTATCCCCATACCACAAACAGTTAAAAGAATTGACGCCCAAGTTATAATGCTCAATGAACGTTTACATACACAGGGAAAACAAATCACTGAATTTCAAGACAGTGTTGAGGTCATTAATGATTTATACGAAGGCATAAGAAACGAAAAAACAGAGGTAGAATTTAATATGGAATCACTACAAAAGCAATTAAATAACATGCAAAGTGAAATAAAAGACATGTCAAGTAAACATGAACAGCAACAAGAAACCATCTTAGATTTACAATGTCGCAGCATGCAATATAATCTTATTTTCCATGGCATACGGGAAGATGAGATAAATCCTGGTGAATCAGAAAATACTGAACAAAAATTAAAGTTTTTTTATCAAAAATACATTGGAAATTAAAACAGACATACAGCTAGAAAAGGTACATAGACTTGGTAGAAGGAAAAGAGATCAGTTAAAACCTAGACCAATATTAGCAAAATTTAAAGATTTGAAAGATAGAGACAATATTAGATTCACTGCCCCCGTTATGCTAAAAGATACAAATTTTGGGATCAGAGAACAATTCCCACATGAAATAGAAAACAGAAGGAAACAATTATACCCAAAGCTGAAAGAAGCTAAACAGAACGGCAAAAGTGCAAAATTAATCAGAGACAAGCTTTATATTGAAAATGAAAGAATATTCCCAGAAAATAATGAATCAGAAACACAAAGAAGTCATGAACCTAGACGACATGAGCATAAAACATATACATCAAAACATGAAAATTATGCACAGAAAACAACCTACACCAATACCAAATATAAATCAAATCCGAAGCGGTCATATGAGCAAAATTATAGAGTGCAGGCCACAGACATTCAAACACCAAATAGGTTCCAAGTACTATCACATATAGATGATGAGGACAGGCAAAGTACATACACTGGAAAAAGACCAGCAAGATCACCAATTGAAATGAGCATGGGTACAAAGAAACATAGAGAACATTCGCCTGGCATTAACTCTAGTGAAACATCCAACAATGAAGAAATACAATAACTAAAATAAGTTAGGTATGTGATACACAGAATATTAGATATACGGTCGTGTAGGTTCGTTATTATATTTTATTCAACTCGTTCAATAAATTCAGTATTGAACCGACGCGTCTATATGTTGCACACGACAATATATAGATCATATTGAATGAGTGCAGTATCAATACTGAATTTATTGGACGAGTTGAAGTTATAGCGTATATAGCACATTAAGCACGTTTTTTTTGTTTGTTTTTTGTTTTTTTGTTTTTTGTTATTTAAGCTATTGTTGTTGTATATTGCAAATGACGGCACGTCAAAATGTATGCACGGCCGCAATACCATTTTTACGGAGTCGCAAAAGTGGCACGGGTATATGATAAACTCATCCAGTATTTATGTAATATAGCTCGCTAGAGCATAAATGATGACAATTTCTTGATCTCGGCATCATTTCGTATAGCAAATAAACAATCTGAACGTTTTCAGGAAGAAAATCACTTTACTTTATGACCTCTTTTTACAAAATTCTAAATTACTACATATTTTTAGTATAATGTATTCTATTTCATCGTTACTAACGCTTTTACACTGAGAGATTTCGCCATTCTCTTTTGTAACCTACATTTGAAGATCTTTAGAAAATATCAATAAGGAGTTAAAATCAAAATAAGGAGAGGACATTTTTCTCATACAGTTATTTAAATTGGTCAGATATTTCCTTTATTTTTGTCCCACAAACGATATCACCAGATCATAAATCAAAATCTGATCATTTTCAAAACAACAACAACAACAAAACACTGATCTCGTGTAAAACTACCCCCCCCCCTTCGCCGCCGCCGTCCCCCACCCCCCCGCTATCAGGCACTTGTTAAAGTTTGCGGTTTTTTGTGTCAGCCTCTCCCTGACCGTAGAACACCAACGTGAGAAAATTAACGCGACACCACTTTTTCATTTTTAAGTGGTCTTGAATTCTGGTAAGAGGGAACATGATAATAAAACAAACAAAAAAAAATAAAATGGAAGTCCAATTATGGACGGATTTTGGAGGGGGTATTTATATTTAGATATGTCGGTCACTTTGATGTAAAGATAAAACTAGTCAAGTACTAGAAGTGTTTATGCTTTAAACACGCCAATGTATAAGTGAGATAACATAGATTAAACTTTGTGACCTTTTAATCTATTAGTCGTTCAAAACAAATGATCAATAAAATGATAAAATCCGGCAAAAATTTAAAGACGAATATAATTATACTAAATGAACTTATAGTCTATATTATTTTATCTGGGACTTAAGATACGTTATGTTGGGGACTTAAAATCTTCTGTCCCATATTTATTCTGTATTTTCATTGTTAAAAACAACAACAAACAAATCTATAATAATGTCGCAAATTTATGTTTATTATGTATTATACTTTCGTGCTTTTTACCTATTCTTTTATCATTTAGGTGTATTTTCTTCAATCATAATAATTTCATGCCAAAATGTATTCGTCATCAACAAAGCTGTGATTGTTTTATTCTTGCCACCCACGAAATAAAATAATTTTTAGGGTCATAATTCATTGCCAGAGACGGGTACACCAAAATAACCTTTCCTGTTTTATAAATCAACGCATGTGCAAAATAGATTCTACAAAAACGATTTTCTGATACGCATAACGTATTGTATCATGGAACAAACGAACACAATGTTATTTTAATTGCAATCTTCTTGATGTCTTTGCACATCATTGGCGATAAATAGTTATGATACTTACATAAAGCCCATTTCTTGATCAATTAATATATATTTTGCCCCTTTATCATAGGTGTGTCATCACTGTACGGTATAATTGATTTTTAATTACTATTGTTTGACGAGTGTATATGACGTAACAAAATTTAATATTAAATATTTAAATATTTCAAGTTTGCTGTTGAAATTTCAGGATTATTTTTAGGAAAAAGAGGATACTTTTCCCATATAGAAAACAATATGGTAAATAAACATTTTTCATACTAAGGAAAACATTTCCTAATTTCAAAATAGCATATTTTTTAATTTGTTCACCAATTCGTCCGCGTTAAATTCGTCTTATTTTAATGTAAAATATTGTGGTTATTTTTTTTTTTCATCAGATGTATATATTTTGAACTGTGATTTGAGTTTTCTTGCAGGAGTTTTTAATTTTTCTGATGCTGATTGAATGTGTGGCATTTAATATCAAGCCAGTTTACAGTACAGGTATGTTATTATTTTAGGGTGTCCTCTTTGTCTAATGTTTTTATTCACTTATTTATTTATTTCATTTCATTTATTTATTTTTTTTATTTATTTTTTTATTTATTTATTTATTTATTTATTTATTTATTTATTTATTTATTTATCTATTTATCTGTTCGATGATTGATTGATTGATTGATTGATTGATTGATTCATTCATTCATTCGTTCTTTCATCATTTCATTCGTTCAGTTATTTATTTATTTTTCTAATAATTTATTTATCTATTTATTCATTTTTTTATCTATTTATTAAATTAATTAATTAATTAATTAATTAATTAATTAATTAATTAATTAATTAATTAATTAATTAATTAATTCATTCATTCATTCATTCATTCATTCATTCATTCATTTATTTATTTATTTATTTATTTATTTATTTATTTATTTATTTATTTATACATTTGATTGATTGATTGATTGACTTATTCTTCGTTTGTTGTTTATTTATTTATTCAAATAATTTTTCATAAAATTGCTTCAATTTTTCATGTGAAGTTTTAATTTTCAATGATATAAGTATTATGCTTGTATTTTTGTTTTAGAATTCTTACCATTAAAACCAAATTTTAGCGAAATATTGGGGCGAAATTTGAACAGACCTGTGTTCAAATTTTGTTAATTTTATTATTCTGGCCTGTCACTCATGCATGAACGAACGAACAAATAAATTGACGCATGATAAGTAAAATACGATACCTGTGGTGGCGGATTTCTGCCATTTCATGTCCGTGTGTCTTTTTAGGCAAAGACAGGCGAAATTACAAATATAAGGCACCGATACGCAGAATTCTACCCGTTGAAACGATGATTCTACAGAAGATCTCATACCTTTCGCCTATTAAAAAATCGTTATTTCGATCTAAAGTCGATGGGGGTGGGGAAAGCGGCAAGTAAGACATTTAGACCTCTTGACTTTTCGACCCCTTACTTGACACTTAGACCCCTTTTCACATGACTTTTCGACCCCTAGTGGGTAAGACATTTTGACCCCTTTCTCTTCGATTTTTGTACTTTAAAGTGAGCATATTATCGTGTCTTCACCTTCGACATTTTATGTCAGAAATTAGCCATCATAGTTGTTGATAATTTTTTTCCAAATACATATTTATGCTACCAGACAGGAGCTTGAAGTAGGGACGTTCGGCATACTGTTCGGGAACAGTTTCGGATGAAGAATGCTGTCGACTCCAAATTACGTCTAATTCAAGACCTATATATGAATGGCTGATCCTGTCTTTAAATTCAAATTTAATTTTGCAGAAATAGGTGCCACTTGTATTTCACATTGGGATTGCGAGAGTAAGACGGTTGATAACCTCATATGTGAATCGAGTGTCTGCGTGTGTGATACCGGTTACAGACCCGTGGGTACTCTTTGCGAAGCAGGTAAATTAAATATGCTCTGAAATTTTGCTTTACATAATTTCACGACTGCCATGACTTCTGATTATGACATATAATTGTCAAGATTATGACTAATACATCTATTAAACTATATTGAACTATTCTTTATTGTACCAAAGGTTAAAGACTATTTATTAAATTAATTGATATGTATATATATGCAAATATGCTAACATTAAGGATCCAAGTGAGACCTTTACAAAACCTTCACAGAACAGTTTGATTTTTTTTTTAAAAATCTACTACTAAAACAGTTAAGATCTTGTAAAATAAAGGTCACAAACTTTTAGACAAATACCTTTCACCACTTCACTTTGGATTCGATTCTTACTATAGAGTCTAAGGATTTTCTGAAACTATTTTGCAAAGTCCTAATCACAGGTGTTCGACACACATGTCTTGCCAATGATGGTCAACTTGTCATACAATAATTTCCCCTTGATTATCAAGAACACAATTGTTACCTAGCACCCGTTTACAATATATTATATATACAGTATACTATAAATAGTTAACGGGTGCTGGATGGTAATTTTGTTCTTAATGATCAAGGGGAAATTATTTTATGGTAATTTGACCAATTTGAAGAACGCCTGAGGTCTATACCTATAATATGGTTTACGTCACATACTACGTTACTACATTCATTTTCATTACATGTATTCTTATCAATATTTAAACCATAAGATGCATCGTATGTTTGTTATCTTTTAGTTCTAGACGGGAACTGCACGGTAAATTCTGACTGTTATACGTATTTAAGCACCTCAGTGTGCACGAATAATACATGCAGTTGTACAACTGGGTACAAACCGGACAATATTCTATGCACGGAGGGTAATTATCAATTATCAGTTTATGTTCCTTTTTTATATACCAGAAAGAATTTCGGGCATATTATGTTACACTTCCTGGCGTCCGTCCGTCCGTTAGCAATTTGGTTTCCTCAGTATAACTTAAGTTCTATTTGGCCCACAGTATTCAAACTAAATAGGATGATTCTCTATATTGGGAAGAAGACCCCTGTTGATTTTGGGGTCACAATAACAGCATCCTCACACTTATAAATGCACGCATCAGCCTCAAGTCAGCAGCCAAGTTACTTTTTGTGGTTGTAAGATGCGTTAGAATTACAACGTACTTCGTCGTTCAGATTGACATTTATCTCCATTTTGGGGAGCGCAGGCGTAAGAACCGTACGTCTATGAAAATCTTAAGATTTTAGGTTGAACGTACGACCGCGTTGATAAACAGTCTTACGATCGATCTTACGACAATCGTAGATCAAAATCGTACGATGAGATTTCCAAAATCGTACGATCGTTGAAAAGACGGACCCAGACCTCTTCCACACTAAACGAACGCGTTTCCCCTGCACCACGGAGAAGTTATACGAACAATGCCTATATAAAATCAAGTCATTCTAAATTTAGAACTTCCATTGCATTTCGGGTTTGTAATCCTTATTAATTTCGAAGTATTTTGTTCAGGATAAACCTGTTGTTTAAAATTGAAGTAAATAATTTAGCGAAAATCTTCTCGCCCAAACAGTCCGACATGTAGAATCTATATACATGTATTCCACTACTCGGCAGTCAGATTTATTTGTGTAGTATTCGGTAATCGGCATCGCTAAAATAGCATTTTCATTGATTAAAGTCATATTCATCTGCCTAATTTGTGATTGTGCATTTATTGACAATTCTATTTATAGCCAACTCTACTTTTAAACTTTAAATGCGATGTAATTTGTTGGATACTTGTAACAAAATAAAAATATTTCTTTCTTTAAAATCGCTAGTTTTAAGCTGTTCTGAGAACTACTAGTTTGTTGTTAGGTTTGTCGGGAAACTTCTGTGTCAGAGATTGAATGTGAGCTTTGTATTTACTGATCTTCGATCAGAAAATACAAAAACAAAAACAAAACAACAACACTTTCGGGCATATAATGCTCCGACTAGCGGTGCTCTTGTTGGTCTTCTCCAAATCCCTCCAGAGGCGTGCACGTCGCGGAGAAGGCACACGGCAGGTCAAGGTCAAGTCATCTTAAGTACCAGAGGTGATTGGTTGACCTGTCGTGACTAACTTTGAGGGTTGGCGCTAATGAGAGCCGTTTTTGTTATCGTCAGTATGGAACTTGATGCTTGGCCAGTATTGTCGTACTCCTCTACCACCAACGAACGAAGAATAGGCTTCAGGAAGATTCAGCGCTTGAAAAAGACGTCCCCGATGTGACTACCCTAATGGACCGGCACGGATGCTATATTCTCGGACAGATGGTTATACCGGCGCCGAGTATAAATAAACTTAAACTGACTGACTGACTGCTCTTGTTGGTATTGCGATGTGCTTGATCTGTTCCGAAATATAACGAGCTTTCATTTTGATCTTCACTTATCAAAACCGCTTTAGGTCCGAGCCGCGTAAGTGTCTTCGAATTCTTTCATGTTGGGAAAGTTATCCAGCTAGCTTACGGAACGTCGGTGGTTTTATATTAAAAATATGAAAATATTGCATCTGGTGTTCACTCAGTGAAATTATATTTCAATCTTACATGCAAAACAAACAAATATCCTCTATTTATTTGGCAAGGATAGTGTTGATGTTTTTGTAGGGTTTTACGTCGCACGACCACAGTATAATCTGCATAGTGACTTTTCAGTTTTAATAGTGGTTGAAGACCTCAGGTGCCACTCTGTGCATTATTTCAGGCAGAAGCTGACACCTGGGTAGAAATATAGTTCTGTTAAATTTCTCTAATTTTGTTACATTTTTAACATGATGTATAGTGACATCGACTTTCTTTTCCTAAAGAAGCAAAGTTTACGGCATTTACTTCTGCCTGTTATTTCATTTAGTTATGATTTTCTTTTCATCCGCACTCAGATAGAGTCCGGCTAGGGTGAAAATTATATTTTATACATTTTACTTGTGGTTTATCAGAATATAATCACCTGATATATTACAAAAAAAACAATGGAAAGCATGAAATAAGAAAGTGATATTAACCTTAAACAAGGCCAGTCTGACAAGGCTTTATACTATTGGCTGACTTAGATCTACGTACTTTAAATTGTTTCTTAATACTTCAAGACAAATCCAAAAGAGGAAGAAATAGGTAAGAAATTCAGGAGTTCAATGGTTAATTATTATGCAATATAATTATATTGTTGTTTAGGAAATAAACATCAATTCTGAGTGCATTGTTGTAGAATAATGCACGGTTTGAGTTCAAATGCGTAGTAATATAATCACGAAGGCCGATAGGCCTGACTGATTAATTACAAAGCATTTGAACGAAAAACGTGCATTATTAAAGAAATAATATATCCCAAACAGTGATTTTATCGCTCAATAACATCACTGTTTGGAGTTCGGATGCGACGAATTATATCACGAGGGCGTAGCCCGAGTGATATAATGATGCGCATCCGAACGACAAACAGTGATGTTATCAAGCGATAAAATCACCGATTTGGATATATTATTTCGATTCTAACACGACATCAACAAATAAATGCTGCCGTAACTGATATTAAGCTAAATTGTTCCTGATTTGTTTCCGTACTTATTTTCAGCGCGTCGCATTTTTTAGTGGTTACGTCACATGTATAATGATTACGTCACATGTCTAAATATAGAACGTCAACAGTGACTTTGTTGCATAATAACACACACTTTCGGTTCTTCTATGTTCAATAGGGAAAAGTGCGGGTCGTGTTAGAATATACAATTATGCACGAAGAATTAATATCTATTTCCATTCTAACACGTCAAGAATAAATATCATTATTATTTTAAAGATGGACTTTATGTTTGGTGTCTAAATTTGTTTTCGCCTAGGGGTTTCCAATAGAAACGTTCTGTAAGGCTGTTCCAGTGGGTTGAAAGAAATGTCGTTAAATCTACCGTGTGTAGAAACATTTTGAGAATAACGAATTTTGAAAACGTTGATACAACTTTGTTTGATTATTTTATTTCACTCTATAATTTTTCAAGAGAAATACAAATTATTAAAAGTGAAATAAATGTAAAACATAACTCGTTTGCGACATTAAAATAACGTACTTGACTTTGATTGTTTTGCACGTGCTGTTTGGCGCTACATTGTGACGTCACGTAAACAACACTTTAAACGTCTGTACAGCGTTAACGACTGAATTAAAGACATTGGTGTTCGGATTCATTGTTGTAGAATAATGCACGCTTCTGGCCTTCTTTGTTTATATAGAAAAAAATCCGATAGTGTTAGAATACTTGATAATGTATAATAATCGTACTTTATAATGTATAATAGTCGTACTTTAACGTCGTTTTACATTGGATAATCATGACGTTAATCAATCTCCTACGCAGTGATCTCCCCTTATCAGTACAGATATCTCTGCCATCACAAACATTGAAATATCAATATTTAGATATTTATATTTTTTAGCTTTTTAATTTATTTTTCATTATTTTGTATACTTTTGATAATTTTTTGATAAAATATAACGGACGTAGGTACAAAAAGTTAAAAATAAAACAGAAAGAGAAAAATGACGTAAGATTTTCTATGTAACGGTCGATGTTTACATTTGAATTTCGACGCTACGTCATGTGACTTTCATCATCATGTGACGTCTGTGAAGGCAGTGATTACAATTCTGCCAAGGGAGGTAATCAGTGTGAGGAGTTTGGACGTTAATATAATCTATATACACGGCCACATTCAATTAATAATGAATCAATTTCAATTTTGCTCTTATGAAGAATGTTTGCAGTATTATAACGGCTCGTGTTATATATACAAACAACCGTTTTTATTGGGCCATATAACCTGTCTAAGATCTGTATAGCTAATAATATAACTGATGCTAACTAAATGTATTGCAAACAAGTCTTAAAATTAAATGGCATATACATTTAAGTAACGTTATTTAGGAAATAGATATCAATTCTGAGTGCATTGTTGTAGAATAATGCACGGTTTGAGTTCAAATGCGTAGTAATATAACCACGAAGGCCGATAGACCTGAGTGATTAATTACAAAGCATTTGAACGAAAAACGTGCATTATTATACAATAATGCACGAAGAATTAATATCTATTTCCATTCTAACACGTCAAGAAAAAATATAATTATTATTCTAAAGTTGGACTTTATGTTTGGTGGTTAAATTTGTTTTCGCCTGAGAGTTTCCCATAGAAACGTTCTTTAAAGGCTGTTCCAGTGGGTTGAAAAAAACTGTCGATAAATCTACCGTGTGTAGAAACATTTTGAGAATAACAAATTTTCAAAACGTTGGTAAAACTCTGTTTGTTTATTTTATTTCACTCTATAATTTTTCAAGCGAAATACACATTTTTAAAAGTGAAATAAATGTAAAACTTTACTTGTTTGCGACATTAAAATAGCGTACTTGATTTGATTGTTTTGCACGTGCTGTTTGGCGCTACATTGTGACGACACGTAAACAACACTTTAAACGTCTGTACAACGTTAACGACTGAATTAAAGATATTGGTGTTCGGATTCATTTTCTTAGTTAGACTATTTTCTTTCATTTTAGATAGCTTTCACAACAAAATTCGACAAAAAATGTTTTAATTTATCAGATTTTTTTAAACAAAATGGCGACCTCAATGTGAAAATACACAGGGAGGTAATAAGAACGGCGAGTGCATTGTTGTAGAATAATGCACGCTTCGGGCCTTCTTTGTTTATATAGAAAAAATCCGATAGTGTTAGAATTGAAAACAATGTACATTCGTCTTAATGAGAAGGTTTTTACATGCTATTTATATAGTTTCATCTTTTGGGGGTTATTTGATATTAATTTAAAGACATTCCATATTCAAGTGGAGTGGGGGTGAGTTTTTCCTAGTTTTGTACCTAAATTAAGGATTTTGTAAGTCTATAGAACTTCTTTCTGGACCAAGCCTGTTTACGTCCGGATTGAAAATTACTAAATAATTCAAACGAAGTTTCGGAACACCTCGCCTATTACCTATATTCGAGTCCCCAACAAAGTCAGTTTTGTTATCATGTGGTATTAAATTCTTGGTTTTGATTGGCCTACAGCAAGCGGTGTAAGGGTAGAAATGCTAAGTTTCAATGTATAAACATTGACCTAGTCTTAATCGTTCCAGGGACCTTTAATTTTGATATATTCCATATCATGTTCTGTGGTCAATGTTTTATTCTACCCGTGATATACATTTGTAGCTTACGTATAATTCTATTTGTTTCAGTGCTTGGGAGTGCATGCACGGCGACCGCTGACTGCGACGTTACGAACTCAATTTGTTCAAACAATGTGTGCGCCTGTGCCCCTGGATATAGAGAAGGTTTTACCTCTTGTGTGCAAGGTTCGTTTTTTTCAGCAATGTAATACTTAGTTAATGTTTCGCCTGTCATTACAGGTATTATCGACATATTTTATCCATGTGAGTTATATGACCCGTGCAGACAAAGATCAGCCGGCACATCCTCGTCATGTGATTATGGCCTGCACAGTTCGCTTTTGAGTCACTTCTTCTCAATAACATCATTGAATGGTTATTTGATGGTGATTTGACCATTTTGCGAAACGCCTGTGGTCTATACCAGCCATATAAAATGGTTTACGTCACATACTACGTCACTACATTCATTTTCATTACATAATTATATACTTGTTAATATTTCACCCATAAGAGTCATCATATGTGTGTTATCTTGTAGTTCTAGGCGAGAGCTGTAAGGCGGAGTCTGCATGTACTACGTATGTAAACAATTCTGAGTGCACGAGTTTTACGTGCAGTTGCATTACTGGGTACCAACCGGACAATCATCTGTGCACGGCGGGTAATTATTATTTATCAGTTTATGTTCCTTTTTAGCATTGTTTATTTTTCATTTTGATCTACACCTATCAAAGCCGCTTTAGGTCCGAGGCGCGCAAGTGTCTTCTCGAATTCTTTCATGTGGAAAAGTTATTCAGCTAGCTTACGGAACGTCGGTGGTTCTACTCAGGTGTCCGTGTGTGCCTGAAATAATGCACAGAGTTCTATATTTTCGTAGCATTTTCTGTCCTACGGCCAAAACTTTGTATATTTATGAGATTTTACTGAAAATGCAAGTTCAGCTGAAATCTCATAATTCCAACAGTTTCCAGTTTTTTAACGGTTATATAAACCCTTGAAAAAATTATCAGAAGTGCCAATTAGAGCCTATTAGTGCTGTCCCTATACAAAAATAACAGCATTTGTGAAAATGTTACAAATTTATTGACAATTTAACTGTCAAAAACATACCCTTTCTGCATTATTTTATGTTAAGCCAGTCAACTATGATGTAAAACACACATTTACAACAGTTTTTATATTATTTTTTAAAATTTGAAATTTGTCCTTAAAGTTTATGTCACTCCTGTAACATAGTCATGATCAGTAAAAGTAATAACTGATCCCTAGCTATTAAGAATAAAACAAAGCCTCTAATATAAAGAGAAGTATCTAAATAGTAACACTCAAGGTGCCACAGGGGATTGTCTCGTTTCTATATTTTGGAAAATGCATACTTCTGTTCGCAAGTAAATGTATAATTCTTATTCCCGTCACTCCTGTAACGAGCAGTAACTATGTTTTAATTGTCAGTACTGTGCATTAACAGTCCCACTGAGAATTTTGTAAAATATGTGGTAAAGGTCATTAAGAACGGTTCACATCTATTAGGGATACATTGTTATTACTTTTACTGAGATTTACATTGAATATGTCACTCATGTAACAGTCACTTCTGTTACAACTAATTTTGTAACAGTGGTGACCAAATAAGTTACAGTAGATACATTATAAACAATTATCACTGCGGTATACAGTACCCCGGATATTGCTTGATATTATGAGGACTTTCATCCCATTTCACGACTTATATTACCAATATAAAAAAAATGAATCGAGCATTTTTTTATTCACAATCCAAGTATGCTTTGTCCAAAATTCAGACAAAAAGTGTGAAAGTACAAAAAGATACAGGCCAAAAAAAAGATACAAGAAAGTGTACCGAGTATTGATTTTAAGTGTACAGAGTATTGCAAAATAGCCAAACTTTAGTGTACCATGTATTGCAAAACAGAATGAGCACAGTATGAGTATGGAAAATCGATATTTTTGTCTATTTTAAGTCTGTTTATCGATTCCATTTTATTTTGCTGATAATGTACTGTTTATCTGATATTCATTCAAATATTTCAGATTCAACAATGCATTTTCAGTGTTATTACTGTTCTTTTTCTATGGACAAATACAGATTTAATTTCCCATTTGATTGAAAATCACACTATGGATGAAATAAAGTGTGTGCAGGGTCGGGAGCAGGGTAGAACCATCAAAATTGACGATAAAAATATTTAAGCACATGTCTCAAGAGAATGTGTTTCTAAAAAGAAGAAGAATAAAAAAACATATTAAGATGACATTAAAATAGGTTTTTACAGGGCAAGTTTGCCTTAAGAAACATATCGACACACTTAGTAAAATATTGGCCCGTGGGCTTATGCCGTCAAAGCATGCCGGTATCGTCTTAACCTTTTACTGCATAAGCATATAGCAAAAAATGCCTTTCATTGAATTAAGCCTCCTGTTACAAGTTCAAACTGCTATGAAACTATAAAAAATGCTTAAATACTGATCAAACTGGGCACTGTGACACCGCACTTTGGGGTCAAACGCACTTTGGGGTCCAACCCCAGAGTGCGTTACGCACTTTAGGGTCCAATTTCGACCCCAAAGTGCGTTAAACAGGTACATATGCATTTTTGAACATCAGGCAAACGACCGCACTTTGGGGTCAGAGAAAATTAATGTTCATTATGTTTTAAATAATATATTGTAGTCAAGTCCAATGGTAAATAAAATTCAAGGTATTAAATAGACGCAAAAACTTGGGCCCTGAATTATAATAAAATCAATAGGGATGTAAATGGTCTTGATAAGTAAATGAAGAACTTTCAACAAATAAATCACCAAATAAAGATTTTGTATCAATTATTAAGCTTAAAACGTTTTTTTTTCTCAAATTTTCCATTTATTTTAAAAGAATGTACACATTTTATTAACTCCATTGTTTTTAACTAAATGCATCATTTTCCCGTTTTTTATTTACACATTTTATAGAAATATGATAGTCTCAGCATAGACAAAGGTATAAATTGTGGGACTAATCTTAGTAAGACATTTCAGTAAAAGATGTGCCTGATAATATGTTGAAATAACCATTTATTTAGCTAAATGTGACACATAAGAAACTTGACTAGGTGTAGATGCGGCTTAAAGTAGTAGTCCGTACAGGCAGTACTTAAAATATCAACTGATGAAGTAGTCGCACATTTAGAGCGGAGCTTCAGAATAATGTAAAATTCTCACTGGGGGTATAGAGGGGATTGTGGGGTATCGATCCCCCGAGGGTTAAAAAGTGACGTTTTAAAGGCCTATTATACTTTAATTCGTTTTTCTTAAAAGCTTTTTTTATTTTGATGTCCTTCTAAATTATCCAAAAAATACACATTCGCCAATTACCTGAACCATCTTTTTCACCTGTTGCTTTTTGGCAATGATGAGTACAGTTATAGTGAATGAGTATTTTATATGGAAGTCAAATACTACATTGTTTTGACTACTTTTATGACAAATTATTTCACATTTATCGCTACTTTATATAGGTAACAAGCATCTTACATTTCTCTGATACCATTATTTTAACATTTTAAAATTCATGTTTGCTCTTTCTAAAGAAGTATGTAAGATTTCCCATTAAAAAGCCTCTTGCAAACGGTTGTTATGGAGCTTACAAAAACCCTTAAGGTTGTTGATAAGATTAATAATGTATTTGTAAAAATCACTTTTTATAGTCCGATCGAAAAACTAGATGTTTCACCAGAACATTGGAATAGAGTATTTTTATAGTTCTTCGGAAAACAATATTAACTGCATTTTATTTCATTCCCAACATATTTAAAATGGGGCTCAATATGGCACCAAAAGTTTTCAGGTAAATGACTGAAAGAACGGGATATTTCCGCAGCCTCTTTTAATGTTAGGAATACACAATTTCTGTACTAGAGTATTTTGAACGGTGGCATAGAAGTGACATTTGCAATTTTTTTTTTGATACTTTTTTTTGTTTCGTACATATTTTTTGTTTTGTTTTTTGTTTGTCGTACATATTGTTTTTAGTTTTGAATACATATTTTGTTTTAGTTTTGCAAACATATTTTATTGTAGTTTTGCATACATATTTTTTTTTCCGTACACATTTGTACATGATCATTTCCTAAGTAGAGGTTTGGATAATTACGCTATTTGTTAAACACAAATGTCACTTTTATGCCACCGTAATTTTGTTATACGGACACAATTTTTAGATATTTCAAGTGGTAAAATAAATGAAACTTTTATCACTTAAGCATCATCAAAGTATTGACCGCCATCTTGAACTCCACCTCAAATATTTCAATGAAATAAGTCAGAACTCAGTATTTAAGCAGAACTCAGATGACACCTTTAGACCTCTTGAACCCAAAGTGCGTTATAATGTAGCATATTAACGCACTTTGGAGTCAATTTCTCGATTTTGACCCCAAAGTGCGTTGGGCCCCAAAGTGCGTTGCGAAGTTTAACGCACTTTGGGGTCGGACCCCAAAGTGCGTTTGACCCCAAAGTGCGGTGTTACAGGGCACAAATGTTAGCTGGACCGTAGCCTGTGGAATAGCATGCTCAATTTTAAATTTCCAGTTACCATGGCAACAGGAAGACGTCTCAAAATTGCCAGAAATCTCTATTTTGTGTTGTTTTTTCCATAAAAACTGATTTCAAGTGCAGCAACTTCTAAACTGATTGAGATAAAGTCTAAGGCTTTTCGGCGTTGATTACACGGTACCTTTAAATCGGCCTGAGGCCATTATAGCCCCCCACAAGTCCCAAATCTTCCCGGCGATTAGACGGGCTACTGCCCCACTTCAAACCCCAAACAGAAAAAGGCACATCCCCCCTGTGGCAACCCCTTGATGTACCTTTTTAATGGGGGTGGCGCCGAAAAAGTGATCACTCTTTTGAACAATATTTCTCAAACGAAAAGCCAGTGTTTTGGGCCTAAATAGTGCATGTTTTACACTATTTGAGGCCTCAAAAGGGGTGGGTTGTGAAGCTTTCAAAGCACGCCTTTATGAGGTGAAAAGTTATAAGGAACATAACCTTTTTATTGCATCTGCTGCCCGTTATCATAATTTTATCGAAATCTATTTTTCGGTTTTTAAATTAAGGATTTTGTTATTCTCTAGAACTACTTTCTTGACCAAGCCTGTTTACGTCCGGATTGAAACTTACTAAAATAATTCAAACGAAATTTCGGAACACCTCACCTATTACCTATATTCGAGTCCCTAACAAAGTCAGTTTTGTACCAAGGGGGCCTGGACGGTAACTTGCACTTTCCAGTACCGTCCATGAACAGGCTCAATCAAACCGAGCCTGCAACATTTTCAATTTTGCCGTGTTGGGCTTTCTTTAGGGATTCTGTATTTACCTATTTTGTTATTATGTGGTATTAAATTATCGGTTTTGACTGGCCTACAGCAAGCGGTATAAGGGTAGAAATGCTAAGTTTCGCTGTATAAACATTGACCTACTCTTAATGTACAATGTAATTTAATTTTGTATATTCATATATTTTTAAGAACTCCGTGTAAATTTTTTTGTTCTACCGTGATATATTACTAAAATTCTAAAACTTAACATTATCATTTCATCTTGGGAGTGCATGACGGGCCGTGACTGGACGTTACAACTCAGTTTGTACAAAAATGTGTACCTGTCCCACTGGTTGGAATTCGGGCATTGTGCGCAGGTTTTTTTTTCCCAAAATTTTTTTTATTTAAATTTTTTCCCCTTTTATTACAGGTATTAACGACATATTTTTATCATGTGATTTATATGACCGTAAGTCTAGATAAGGCACATCCTCGCCCTGTGATTTTGGCCCTTTACAGTTGCTTTTGAGTCCTCCTTCTAATAAAATCATTGAATGGTTATTTTGATGGTGATTTGACCAAATTGGCCGAACGCTGTGGTCTATACCGGCCATATAAAATGGTTTTACGTCACATACTACGTCATTTTACATTCATTTTCATTATACATGTATGAATACTTATCAATATTTCAACCATAAAATGCATCATATGTTTGTAATCTTTTAGTTCTAGACGGGAGCTGTACGGAAGATTCTAACTGTACTACGTATTTAAACAATTCTGAGTGTACGAGTAATACGTGCAGTTGCATAACTGGGTACAAACCGGACAATAATCTGTGCACAGCGGGTAATTATTATTTATCAGTTTATGTTCCTTTTTAGCATTGGCAATGTGCTTGATCTGTTCCAAAATATTTCGAGTTTTCATTTTGATCTACACCTATCAAAACCGCTCTAGATAGAGCAGCGCAAGTGTCTTCGAATTCTTTCATGTGGTAAAGTTATCCAGCTAGCTGGTTCTACTCAGGTGTCTGTTTGTGATTGAAATAATGCACAGAGTGGCACTTGAGGTCCTCCTCTACCAGTAAAGCCGAAAAGTCGCTATATGAATTAAAGAAAAGTCGCTATATGAATTATACTGTGTTGGTGCGACCAAAAGATATCAATAATAGCCTTGCCAAATAAGAAAGTGATGTTTACTTCAAACATGGCCAGTCTGACAAGGCTTTATACTATTGGCTGACTTACTTTTAATTGTTTCTTAATACTTTAAGACAGATTCAAAAGTGAAAGCAATAGGTAAGAAATTCAGGAGGTCAATGGTTAATTATTATGCAATTATTTAAGAAATATTAACCTATAGCTCTTCAGCGCTTCTTATGTAAAATTCTTCCAAGTATAATTTCAAATAACCGTAAATTATACCATACCCAGACTATGGTATAATTTTCATCGAAGGAGTAAGTGTTTCTGGGCGGAGCTATAGGTTAAAACAGATACACCATTGGTGCGTTGACGATTTCTGGGTTTGCGTAAATTTCGTCTCGTGAGGTTAAGGCATAAGAAAGGTCACGTGATTATGGTATAATTTACGCAAACCCAGAAATCGTCAACGCAGCAATGGTATATCTATTACATATCCCAAACTGTGATTTTATTGCTCAACGACAAACAGTGATGTTATCAAGCAATAAAATCACCGATTTGGATATATCATTTCGATTCTAACACGACATCAACAAATAAATGCTGCCGTACCTGATATTTAGCTAAATTGCGTCTGATTTGTTTCCGTACTTATTGTCAGCGCGTCACATTTTTAGTGGTTACGTCACGTATATTATGATTACGTCACATGTCTAAATATAGAACGTCAAACAGTGATTTTATAGCATAATAACACAAACTCTCGGTTCTTCTATGTTCAATAGGGAAAATTGCGAGTCGTGTTAGAATATAATATAATTATATTGCTGTTACTTGATAATGTATAATACTCTAACGTCGTTTTTCACTGGATAATCATGACGTTTATATAGAGGATATTTGTTTAGTTCAGTGTAAGATCGGGATTTATTATATACTTATAAATGAAATATTGAGAAATATTGATGAAATAAAATGCGTATTTTCATTTTCCGTATTTTCACTGTAAAAATTTATTTTTCACTGCAGTGAAACATATTTTCCGTATTTTCACTGGTGTCTTGCCGGACTACTTTCATTTAAAATCTGCCAGTTCACAAAATTTAAGGGAATGCCTTTCAAATTTTATCGCAAAAAAGAAAAAAATGTATATAATAAACAGAACATTCAAGTCTTTTCTATAAATACATGATTTATTTTCATCTTGTGGCATGAAAATTACCATATTTCACTTGTGGCTACCGCCACTCATGAAATTTTTTTTCATACCACTCGATGAAAATAAATCATGTATTTATAGAAAAAACTTGAATAACCTCTATATATTTCACCGAGTGAGCACCAAAAGGTATATTTCACGAGTGGTGCAGCCACGAGTGAAATATGAACTTTTGGTGTTTACGAGGTGAAATATATTTCTATCTTACATTAAACTAAACAAATTTTCTTTTTATTATATGCAAAGAAACGTTTAAAAAGACATTTTAACTTAGTACTAAATGAAAAGGCCGCCAAATAATGATATAACGTGACGTAATTTACGACGTCACGTCATTAAGTTGGTTTCTAGTACTGTGAACGCTTGTATTTTACTGAAACAACGTACTGGGCTCAAATCAAACTCCTCACAGTGATTACCTCCCTTGGCAGAATTGTAATCACTGCCTTCACAAACGCCACATGATGATGAAAGTCTCATGACGTAACGTCGAAATTCAAATGTAAATATCGAACGTTACATAGAAAATCTAACGTCATTTTTCTCTTTCTGTTTTATTTTTAACTTTTTGTACCTACGTCCGTTATATTTTATCAAAAAATAATCAAAAGTATACAAAATAAATTAAAAAGCTAAAAAATATAAATATCCAAATATTGATATTTCAATGTTTGTGATGGCAGAGATCTCTGTACTGATAAGGGGAGATCACTGCGTAGGAGATGGGGCTCAAATATTCAAAACAGTGAAATTATCAAATCGATAATTTCACTGTTTCAAACAGTGAAATTATCAGTTTTTAACTCACTGATATATTTCTATAAACCACAGAAAAGCATGTAATAAATAATCTTTATACATAGTTACATTCAATAAAGTATGAATCAATTTCAATTTTTACTCTTATGAAGAATGTTTGCAGTATTATAATGGCTCGGGTTATATATACAACCGTTTATATTTGTCCACATAACATGTCTAAGATCTGTATAACTAATAATATACTCGATGCTAACTAAATGTATTGCAGACAAGCCTTAAATTAAATGGCGTTAAATTTATTTAACGTTCTTTGAAAACAATGTATATTCGTATGTCTTAATGAGAGGGAATGTTTAGTAATTGCAAATTGGCAAACATGCTATTTATAGTTTCATCTTGGGGGGGGGGGTAGTTGATATTAAAGACATTCCATATTCAAGTGGGGGGATTATTACTTGTCCCTAAATGGAGGATTTTGTAATTCTATTGAACTGCTTTTTGGACCGAGCCTGTTTGCGTCCGGATTGAAAATTTCTAAATAATACGTAAACATATTCAGAACTTTTAAATAAACGTGTTTAATTTGCACATGAAGTTACAATGATATTAAGATAATGAGATAAACAGTAGTTAAAGGTTCTATAAACAGGTGATACCTATATTTTATGAAAAATCTGTCATAATAATTCAACGTATGAAAATGATAACTAATCTGGAATGTAACTTGTACATTTTGGGGCATTCGATTCATATTTGTCAAACATATTTACTGACAACATTGAATTTCGTATACATTACATACTTGTGGTTAAACTATTTTGAATAAATTAGTATTTCTTTTGAGTTAGAAGATAAAAAATATCTTTCTTTTTTTCTTTTTTCTTTTTTCTTTTATCTTCATGTTCCTTTTATTTTGTTCACGTGTTTTTAGATTAATTGTCTTCATGTTTTTTTGTGTCTTATAGGCCCATTGGGCCGGATGTATACTAGTGTTTATTCATGTCTTGTTTTTTCATTGCTTGTATGTTTACATAATTTATTATGACACATTATAAAATATTTATTTACTTACAGGTCATGTAAAATTGGTCTTTTCATAAAAAAAAAACTGCCAGTTTTTTTTAATGACACTATATATTCATATTGTAACCACTTATAGTGTGACAACAGATCTACTTTGTGTGAATTTTAAACATGTTCATTTTACATTTACAAAGAGACTGTGTAGCAATTATAGATATTTTCAAATATGAAATTTGAGCAAAAGTTATCTTTAATTTATCTCTACTAATAAAACAATTATGGTCTTTTAAAATGAAGGACACAAACTTTGTGACAAATACCTTTCACCACTTCACATTGTATCGATTCCTACTATATAGAGTATAAGGATTTTCTTATAACTTGATACTGAAACTATTTTGAACAAAGTCCTAATCACAGGCGTTCGACACATATGTCTTGCAAATAGTGGTAAATTTATCATACAATAATTTCCCCTTGACCATCAACAATTATAACCCATCACCCGTTTACAATATATTATATATACAGTATACTATAAATAGTAAACGGGTGTTGCGTGGTATTTTTGTTCTTGATGATCAAGTGGAAATTATTTTATGGTAATTTGACCATTGTGCCGAACCCCTGTGGTCTATACCTATAAAAGGTTAACATCACATAGTACTACGTCACTTCTCATTACATGTATTCTTAACAATATTTTTTCAACCATAAGATGTATCATATGTGTGTTATCTTTTAGTTCTAGACGGGAGCTGTACGGAAGATTCTAACTGTACTACGTATTTAAGCAATTCTGAGTGTACGATTAATACGTGCAGTTGCACTACTGGGTACAAACCGGACAATAATCTGTGCACGGCGGGTAATTATCAAGTTTAAGTTCCTTTTCAGCATTGGCAATGTGCTTGATCTGTTCCAAAATATTACAAGTTTTCATTTTGATGTACACTTATCAAAACCGGTCTATGTAGAGCAGCGCAAGTGTCTTCGATTTCTTTCATGTGGTAAAGTTATCTAGCTAGTTTACGGAACGTTGGTGGTTCTACTCAGGTGTCCGTTTGTGCCTGAAATAATGCACAGAGGGGCACTTGAGGTCAAGCCGAAAAGTTGCTACATGAATTATACTGTGTTGGTGCGACCAAAAGATATCAACACTATCCTTGCCAAATAAGAAAGTGATAATTACCTTAAATAAGGCCAGTCTGACAAGGCTTTATACTATTGGCTGACTTACTTTAAACTTTTTCTTAATACTTCAAGACAGATTAAAAGTGGATGCAATAGGTAAGAAATTCAATTGTTAATTATTATGCAACTATTATAATTTATTACTTGCTTTTTGGTGGTTTATAGAAATATATCAGTGATATAAAACTGGTAGTTTCACTGTTTGAAAAAGTGAAATCACCACTTTGATAATTTCACTGTTTTGAATTTAAGCCCCTTACGTTGTTTCAGTGAAATACCAGTGTGCACAATACTGGGTACCAACTTAATGACTTGACGTCGTAAATGACGTCACGTTGTATTATTATTTGGCGCACTTTTCATTCAGTATTAGGTTTAATGTCTTTTTAAAACGGTTTTTTTTTTGCATGTTATAAAAAGAAAATTTATTTAGTTTAGTGCAAGATCGAAATATATTTCCCCTTGTGAACACCAAAAGTTCATATTTCACTCGTGGCTGCGCCACTCGTAAAATATACCTTTTGGTGCTCACTCGGTGAAATATATTCCGATCTTACACTGAGCTAAACAAATATCCACTATATAATAATATTGATGTATCTTGATAATGTATAATACTCAAAGGTCGTTTTTCATTGGATATTCATGACGTTTATATAATCTCGTATATATACACGGCTACATTCAATTAATTATGAATCAATTTCATTTTTTCTCTTATGAAGAATGTTTGCAGTATTATAACGGCTGGGGTTATATATACAAACAACCGTTTATATTGGGCCATATAGCCTGTCTAAGATCTGTATAACTAATAACATACTCGATGCTAACTAAATGTATTGCAAACAAGCCTTAAATAAATTTATGTAACGTTATTTGATAACAATGTAGATTCGTCTTAATGAGAGGGGGAATGTTTAGTAATTGTCAATTGGCAAACATGCTGTATTTGGGGGTTATTTGATATTTAAATACATTCCATATTCAAGTGGGGTTGGGAATTATTACTTGTCCCTAAATGGAGGATTTTGTAATTCTATAGACCTGCTTTTTGGACCGAGCCTCTTTACGTCCGGATTGAAAATTACTAAATAGTATGTAAACATATTCAGAACTGTTAAATAAACGTGTTTAATTTGTACATGTAGTTACAATCATATTAAGATAATGAGATAAACCATAGTTAAAGGTTCTATAAACAGGTGATACATATATTTTATGAAAAATCTGTCATAATAATTCAACGTATTCAAATGATAACTAATCTGGAATGTAACTTGTACATTTTGGGCATTCGATTAATATTTGTCAAATATATTTACTGACAACATTGAATTTCTTATACATTACATTCTTGTGGTTAAACTATTTTGAATAAATTAGTATTTCCTTTGAGTTAGAAGATAAAAAAATATCTTTCTTCTTTTTTTCCTTTTTTTTTCTAAATATTCCTTTTATGTTGTTCAAGTGTTTTCAGATTAATTGTCTTCATGTATTTTTGTGTCTGGGCCGGATGTATACTAGTGTTTATTCATGTCTTGTTTGTTCTTTGCTTGTATGTTTACATATGACACATTATTAAAATATTTATTTACTTACAGGTAAGGCCCCCACGATTACACGTTTAAACGGATTCGTTTCGATTTTCATTCATAAACGTTTAGGATATTGTTTACCGTTTAATCGAAATGACCATATTGTCTTACAAAATTTCTTAATCATTGCCTGTAATCATGGATTTTATCAATTCTAGTGGTTTATTCCAAAGTATACAAACTGAAAATAGGTGTTTACAACCCTCCACACAGCATTACGGTGCAAAATTGCTCGTGACAAAATACATTTTTGGTAAAAAAATTGGGTTACAATGCAAATAATGTGTGCTGACTCAATCGTGATGAGCACTGTGCATTCTTTATTTGTACATGTGTAAAAAATAGAAAGAAAGACATCATTTGGCGACTCAAATACATGGTGTGTAATACATAGAGGTACCACCTTTTAAACGGTATCGTTTCGGTTCTTAGCAATCGTGTAAACGTTTACAAAAAATTGTAAACGTGGGAGCCTTACTTACAGGTCATGTACACATATGTCTTGCCAATAATGGTTAATTTATCATACAAATAATTTCCCCTTGATCATCAACAATTATAACCCATAACCCGTTTACAATATATTATATATACAGTATACTATAAACAGTAAACGGGTGCTGGATGGTATTTTTTGTTCTTGATGATCAAAGGGAAATTATTTTATGGTAATTTGACCATTGTGCCGAACGCCTGTGGTCTATACCTATAAAATAGTTTACGTCACATAAGTTAGTTACGTCACTACATTCATTTTCATTACATGTATTCTTATCAATATTTAAACCATAAGATGCATCATATGTTTGTTATCTTTTAGTTCTAGATGGGAACTGCACGGTAAATTCTGACTGTTATACGTATTTGAGCTCCTCAGTGTGCACGAATAATACATGCAGTTGTACAACTGGGTACAAACCGGACAGTAATATATGCACGGAGGGTAATTATCAATAATCAGTTTATGTTCCTTTTTTATATACCAGAAAGAATTTCGCGCATATTATGTTACACTTCCTGGCGTCCGTCCATCCGTCCGGTAGCAATTTAGTTTCCTCAGTATAACTTAAGTTCCATTTGGCTCACAGTATTCAAACTAAATAGGATGACTGTCTCTTTTGTGAAGAAGACCCCTATTGATTCTGGGGTCACAATAACAGCATCCTCACCCTTATAAATGCACGCATCAGCCTCAAGTCAGCAGCCAAGTTACTTTTTGTGGTTGTAAGATGCGTTAGAATTACAACGTACTTCGTCGTTCAGATTGACATTTATCTCCATTTTGGAGCGCAGGAGTAAGAACCGTACGTCTATGGAAATCTTGTGATTTTTAGGTTGAACGTACGGCCGCGTTGATAAGACAGTCTTGTGGCGGCTGTAAAAAGTCTCCCCGTACATTTAATCAATGATGTTATATTTTCGATCCTTGAAAATCGTTCAGCACGACATTATTGTTGTGCTTGTGGTAATTTTAGTTTCAACTTTTCGGCATTTTCTAGTTGGTTGGCTCCAATATTCCTACTTGAATAATTAATGTTGAATCACCCTTAGGATATGTTGCCTGCTTTTTAAATTTGTCTTTTGACGTCTTGTCTGTGATACGCAGGCTTCATAACCTCTGATTCCCTTTCAAAATTCCATTTTATTTGGTTCCACCCATTGTTTTCTCGTTTAGGACACACGCTTTTTCTTACTCGGGGACCACACGCCGCTTTTCATGGAATGGCACAGAAGTGTCACATTGAAGGTTCCATAATAACCGCCGTATGAACACATCTGCGGATGTTTCTAATTTCAAAATTTTACTATTTCATGTTTAAATGTTGAATTCTGCTTAAGCCGGTGCTAGGGGGCGTGGACGGTAACTTGCATATTCCAGTACCGTCCATAAAAAGGCAAAATCACATCGAGAATGCAACATTTTCAAATTTTGCCATGTTGGGCTTTTTTTAGGGATTCTGTATTTATCTATTTTACGATCGATTGTACGACAATCTAAGATCAAAATCGTACGATGAGATTTCCAAAATCGTACGACCGTTGAAAGATGAACCCAGACCTCTTACACACTAAACGAGCGCGTTATCCCAGCACCACGAAGAAGTTATACAAACCATGCCTGAATAAAATCAAGTCATTCTAGATTAAAACTTCCATTTGCTTTCGGGTTTGTAATCCTTATTAATTTCGAGGTATTTTGTTCAGGATAAACCTGCTGTTTTAAATTGAAGTAAATAATTTAGCGAAAATCTTCTCGCCCAAACAGCCAGTCAGATTTATTTGTGTAGTATTCGGTAATCGGCATCGCTAAAAATAGCATTTTCATTGATTAAAATCACATTAATCCGCCTAATTTGTGATTGTGCAATTATTGACAATTCTATTTATAGCCAACTCTACTTTTAAACTTTAAATGCGATGTAATTTGTTGGATACTTGTAACAAAATAAAAAAAAAATTCTTTCTTTAAAATCGCTAGTTTTAAGCTGTTCTGACAACTACTTGTTGTTAGGTTTGTCGGGAAACTTCTGTGTCAGAGATTAAATGTGAGCTTTGTATTTACTGATCTTCGATCAGAAAATACAAAAACAAAAACAAAAACACTTTCGGGCATATAATGCTCCACCTATCGAGTTTTCATTTTGATCTACACCTATCAACGCCGCTTTAGGTCCGAGCCGCGTAAGTGTCTTCGAATTCTTTCATGTGGGGAAAATTATCCAGTTTGCTTACGGAACGTCGGTGGTTCTACTCAGGTGTCCGTTTGTGCCTGAAAAAAAATGCACAGAGTGGCACATGATGTCTTCAACCACCATTAAAACTGAAAATTCACTATGCAGATTATACTGTGGAAGTGCGACGTTAAATCCTACTAGGCCAGTCATAATAGAAATTAAGGTAAAACTAATTCCTTCACAAATGTTTTCACGATTAAATAAAAGATAAACATTATCTACATTTTGAGAAAAAAGTCCTCAAAAAATCTCCTTGCAGAATCCTGAAAAATCGATCATAAAGATTTAGTAAAAATCGATATTTAAATGTGTCTCTTAAATTACACCATACTTTTATTTTATGCACGTTCGGTGACGTCACGTTTATTATATTTTCGTTGAAAGATCTGAAGTTACTTCAATTCCAGCATTCCTAGTGCAAAGGTGAGTAATTTTAGTCATTTTTATATTCTTCTGTATAAATTAGGGAAAAATATGTCAGTAGATAGATTTAATTGACCACTAATCAATCGATTATGCAGATGACAAAATGTGTCATATAATTTCGCGATTTTAAACACAATTTTGAATGAAGTAATCATTAAAAAAGAGTTTATCTTTTACTCAACGTTCTACATTGTTTCCTTTTGTACAATTATCTAAAATGACACAGAATTAACCACACATCTTACTGAGTATTTAAAAAAATGTGTATGCACAAGTTATGTAAATTTTTCTTCCTACGGAAGCGTGTTGTGACCAAAATCACGAAAATCTAGGGATATTTTTAAAATGTTAAATTTGACTTATTTCAAAGAGTTGGCATGTTTGATGAATTTTGGAAATCATAATTAAAACAAATAATATGTTAACTTGATGTAAGCAAACGTATTTTGTAATACATATTAATGCATTTCTAAGGGAAATCATAGAAGAGTTGTTGTATTGTTGTATAATTAGTAAGAAGATTGATAGACACATGACTTCTACACAAGGGGTAATGGGATGCGAGAGAAAAATGGCTTTTTACGTAGATATATCTTATTGAAAGAATGAAAACAAAACAATTGGGTGTCTAATACAACAGAAATTGATATATCAACACAAATTTACATCATTGTTTTACAGTATGATTATAATAAAAACTTTTTAATCTAAATGTGCGTCTTGCGTAAAATACGCATTAAAATCGAAAAAGACGCACAGTTTCAAAATATGTGCGTTTAATTTGACGCATGCAAATCAGCTGGTTTATAATCCAAAATATCATGATTAGTGATTTCTATGTACTGTTTGATTACTTTAATTTCATCAGTTGAATAATTTTTCAATTTCTTCAGTTGAATAATTTAATTTCCGATGATTACAGGTGCAAGACTAATCCCCCATTTGCTTGAAACGTTAAATCCCTGTGATCTGTAACCGCCCATTATCGGCATTACACGAATTATAAATAATAGGTTGAAACTTTGGGCCGAAAAATATAATGTATATATAGAAGCACAGGCAGGATTTAGGGCGAATATGAGCACTGTAGATAATATTTTTTGTACTTAATGCTTAATAACCCATATTCTTAATCAAGGGAAACAACTTTTTACTTTGTTTGTTGATTATACAAAGCTTTTGATTATGTAGTTCGTGAAAATCTTTGGTTCAAGTTGATACAGTTAGGGCTTAGAGGTAATATTTTCAACATTGTAAAATCAATTTATGAGTCTGTTAAGTCTAGAGTTAAGTATTGCAATAAGTTAAGTGATGATGAATACACATGTATGCTGGGCGTGAGACAAGGGGAGTGTTTATCTCCCCTTTTTATTTTCCATGTTTGTTAATGATCTAGAAGATATATTCATTCATAACAAGGCAGATGGAATAGATGTTGATATGTTCAAAATATTTATGTTGTTGTATGCTGATGACATTGTGATTTTTGCAAAATTCAGCCGAAGAATTGCAACGTAGTATAGATATTTATATGATTATTGTTTTTAAATGGAAGCTTAAAGTGAATGTTTCTAAAACTAAAATTATGATATTTAGAAAAGGTGGTACTATTCCCTGGTAAGCACGATATTTAATTATAATAATGATCCCATTGAAATTGTTAGTAAGTTTTGTTCTTAGGTGTGGTATTTACTACAGGAGGTTCGCTATTTAACTGCTCAAATACGCCTTACATTAGCTGGGCAAGCACAAAAAGCTATTTTTTAACTTTGATAAATACTTACATAAGTTTACCTATATACTCCCAAAAACATAAGCTAGAATGTTCGATAAGCTTGTATCCCCCTATCTTGGAACTATTGTTGTGAAGTTTGTGTTTTGCAAATAATTAGCTATTGAGAAAGTACATTTGCATATTTTGCAAAAATTACTTGGTGTAAAAAAGTCTACACAGAATGATTTCATATATGGCGAGTTAGGCAGAGTATCATTTAAAACTATACAAATATTTAAGGGCTATCAATATTGGTTACGAATTTTGCAAGCAAAACAAAACAAATATATCTTTATTGTTTATAATTTATTGAAGGACGGATGTAGAATTGTGTCCAAATAAACAAACTGGTGTAACAATTATTGAAAAGATTTACTTATGTTCTCTTGGATTTGTTTGATGCGTGGATTTTTCCCAAGGCGGTTGGTAATACCGAAATGTTTCTTTCCTGTTTTGTTCAACAAAGATTAAGTTGATCAATTTATACAGAACTGGAATGCAAGACTTAACCAATCAAAGTAGGGCTTCTATTTAAATAACAACAATTGCATCATTTAGATTTCAACCATATTTGGGGAATGCTTTAATTATTCATAAAAATTTTGGTCAATCAAATTTACGTTCGTTTTTAAGGGTAATCACTCACAGATTACACATTGAAGCTGGTCGATGGACCAGACCCACCAGAACACCTATTAGTTGATAGAAAATGGTATAACATGTAATAAGGTAGAAGATGAATAATCATTTTATTATTGAATGTGTAAATGTACATTTGATATTAGGAAAAAAATATATTGCCAGAAAATAATTGGATACGGCCTAGGCATGTAATAAATTTTGTAGATCTTATGAATTTCAGAAAATAAGAACATACTTAAAAATTAGGGAATATATATAAACAAAGCATTTATTATTAGAAATAACTTTGCTATATGATTAACAAATGCAAATTTTCGTCCAGTTGGGTAATGTTCATGTTTTAAAAAAAAAAAAAAAATTTACAAC